GATGTTTCCGATCCTTACGAAATTTTAAAACGCTCGATTCTTAAACGAGGAGACCTAACCGATCGACAAAGGTTAGATCAACTCTTCAACAATATCGACCTGCAACACGGTTCTGCGACAGACATGTTGCAACGGATGAGAGAGGTAATAGGCCCAAGAACTTTCGACGAAGGCCTATTCAAACAACTCTTCTTGTCAAAACTTCCCCAACAGGTGCAAGCAGTTCTGGTCTCGTTCCAGAACAACGCCTTAGACGAGCTAGCTGCATCTGCCGACCGCATTTTAGAAATTACGAAATCTACTACCGAGGTATTTTCAGTCAAAGAAAAACCTCAAACGACTCAGAATGATATAAACGACTTATGTCACACACTCACGCGTTATCTTAGTCTCCGTAACGACCGTAAGAGATCGCGCACACCACGTAGAAGCATTTCTCGTAAGCGATCTGTCTCTAGACCACGAGAGACAGATAACCCTGACTGGTGCTGGTATCATAACCAGTATGGAAAGCTTTCCAGAAATTGCAGAAAACCCTGCAATTTTCCCAACACGAAACCGACTGATTCGAAAAACAATTCGGGAAACTTCCAAGCCGGCACGCGTTAACGGCAACCGTAGCCGGCGAACAAAGCCGTCTGTTATTCGTCACAGATGTGACAACGAGAGTTCGTTACCTCGTCGACACTGGCGCAGAAGTTAGCGTTCTCCCAGCAAATCCTAACGACCGACTACACGAATCGACCCTAAACTTACAGGCGGCAAACGGAAAACCGATCGCTACGTATGGCAAAAGGTACGTTTACCTTAACGTGGGTTTACGCAAACCCATCCACTGGATTTTCGTTGTTGCAGATGTTTCTATGCCAATCATTGGTATGGACCTTCTACAACACCACAATCTGATCATCGACACTCGCAAACGGAGGCTAGTAGACGGAAACACTAATTTGTCCGTTTGCGTAACTTCTTTTACTGGTTGTAGAGTATCCCCAGTCACAGTTAAACATATGATAGACCCACTCTATCAACCACTACTCGATAAGTACCCTGACATACAACAAACTCAAACGAAACTACCGTGTGTAACCAGCAAAGTTACACATCACATCACGACTACAGGACCACCTGTATTTTCTAAAGCACGACGACTAGCTCCTGAAAAGCTAAGGTTAGCGAAAAACGAATTCGATCACATGATGGACTTAGGAATCATACGACCGTCAAGTAGCCCATATGCATCTCCGTTGCACATGGTCCCTAAAAAGGAGAGCAACGATTGGCGTCCAACTGGTGACTATCGGCGATTGAACGCGAAAACCATTCCCGATCGTTACCCGTTGCCTCACATTCACGATTTGACAGCTACCTTGAAAGGTACAACTGTCTTTTCGAAAATCGACTTGGTTAAAGCGTATAACCAAATCCCTATGGCTACTGACGACATACCGAAAACGGCTATCATAACTCCCTTCGGACTCTATGAATTTTTGCGAATGCCTTTCGGTCTAAGGAATGCTGCTCAAACATTCCAAAGATTCATAGACGACGTTTTTCGAGGTCTCAACTTCGTACACGCGTATGTTGATGACTGTCTAATCGCAAGTCCGGACAGAGAAACACATCTCAAGCATCTGGATCTTGTTTTCGAACGACTTCAAAAACATGGCATAACGGTAAACGTTCAGAAATGCCAATTCTGAACCGACTCGTTAGACTTCCTAGGACACACTATCGATGCTCAAGGCATTCGACCTCTTAGGACCAAAGTGGCGGCCATTCTGGATTACCCAGAACCGACTACCGTCAAGCAATTGCGCACGTTTAACGGCCTGGTAAGTTTCTATAGACGTTTCATACCCAAATGCGCATTACTTATGAAACCTCTGACCGACCAACTTCGTGGAAATGCGAAATCCATTAATTTGGACGACACCTCACGAAAAGCATTCTCCACAGTTAAGGAACTGATTGCTACAGCAACAATGCTCGCATATCAGGACACCCGAGCACCCATTAGCATCGCAGTAGACGCATCCGACTCAGCAATCGGAGGAGTCTTACAACAATGGGTTAACAACTCCTGGCAACCCTTGGCCTTTTTCTCTAGAAGGTTGCTAGACACCGAATCGAGGTACAGCACATTCGGTAGGGAACTCCTAGCTATGTATTGTGCTGTACGGCATTTCCAACACTACATCGAAGGTCGTGAATTCACTCTTTTCACGGACCATAAACCGCTCACTTTCTCGTTAAGCTCTGCCTCTGACAAGTACTCTCCACGTGAGTCTCGACAACTGGACTACATTTCGCAGTTTACTTCAGATATCCAACACATCTCTGGAGCAAACAATGTAGTCGCAGACGCCTTATCTCGCATAACTTCCTTGAACAGTTTCCAAGGAATCGACCTTCTTAAACTCGCCGAGCTTCAAAAAGAAGACAGTGATCTTCAGCACGAGTTATCGTCCACAACACTTAAACTACGCATCAAACAGATGGGAACAGGTAAGGAAACCTTACTTTGTGACACATCTACAGGTAGGGATCGCCCAATCGTGCCGAAACATTATCGACGCAATGTCTTCAACACATTGCACAAACTTTCGCATCCAGGTGTTCGTGCAACCATCAAGCTTATAGCAGAAAGGTTTTGCTGGCCTGGAATGAATAAAGACGTGAGGGAGTGGGCACGCTCCTGTGTAAGCTGCCAAAAATCTAAGGTTATCAGACACAATAAATGTCCCTTAGGCTCGTTTAAAACTCCCGATGCTCGTTTCGACCATGTTCATCTGGATTTGGTAGGACCTTTACCAGATTCAAATGGATACTCTTATCTCTTAACCTGCGTAGACCGTTTCACTCGATGGCCAGAAGCAGTACCTATCAAGGACATCACTGCTGAAACAGTGGCTCGCACTTTCGTCGAACGATGGGTAGCAAACTTCGGTTGCCCTTCAACCATTACTACAGACCGCGGACGTCAGTTTGAATCCGATCTTTTCCGTCGTCTGACCACGCTTTTAGGAATCACTCGCTTCCGAACGACCGCCTACCATCCACAAGCAAACGGGTTGGTAGAACGTTTTCACCGACAACTGAAAGCCTCGCTATCAGCTGCAAACGTTTCACAGTGGACCGACGCTCTTCCACTCGTCTTACTAGGTATCCGCAATGCAGTGAAAGCTGACATTGGATACACTGCGTCTCAACTAGTTTATGGAACGACACTTCGACTTCCAGGAGAATTCGTGGATCCTTCATCCTCTTCAATGAACATGGATCTAACCTCCTACACGAACAGGCTTACAAACGCAATGCGTTCAGTTAAACCTGCTTCCACCCGACCTCAATCAACTGATGTTTTCGTTCAACCTGACTTACGATATAGTACACACGTTTTCGTTCGTCGAGACTCGCATCGACGACCCTTCGAATCAGCATACGAAGGACCCTTCAAAGTTCTTCAACGTGAATCTAAGTACTATATAGTCGATAAGAACGGAACCAACGATAGCATCAGTATCGATCGCTTAAAAGCAGCGTATTTAGAAGGAAATCCTATCTACGTGGATTTTCCTTCGGTACAATCGAACGACACGACTCCGACACTTATAATACCTCATCCGACAACCAACACACACGATGATACTTCGACAGTATCCGAAAATAAACTTAAAACGACGCGTTCTGGAAGAAGGGTGAGATTTCCAGAACATCTAAACGACTATTGCACGTAAGGCACTTCTCGACATTTTATATTATTTTTTTTAAAAAAAAAACAATTTTAATATGCTTATATATTTTTATTTCTATTAAAAAAAAAACAAACAAAAAAACAATTTTTTTAACGCTATTACGTGTTCATGAGTTTATTTTCCATTTTTTTCCGCCGACATTGTGCTTTCACGCACATACGAGTGTATTTCGACATGCACTTACATTTTCTTTTTTCTTTTCCAGGACGGCTGGAAAAGAACGATGACGTTTATGAGGATCCGAAATTTTCCATGTACATTTTCTTTTTTTACTATGTTGTACCTCCGTCCCATATAGTAAGGAAAGACGACCAGACGCTGCTAAATTTAGTAAGCTATCAGAAGAGTGTTTACCAACGACAAACTCGTTGGGTTTAAACTTCTGGCTGGCCACGTCTTAGGGTCGTCACTGCCCCACTAGGGGGGGAGTGATCTGTAGCGGTAAATAAATCCCCAAAATAAATAGCACTAAGTTTTCGACATTGGATGCTGACCATATGTTTAAGTGGACTCACCTAGCTGAAGGCGCTCGGTCAGGCATCTGCACCAGATCACGTGTGGTAACGCCGTGCTCAACATCAACCGCAATCGCTAGCCAGATTAGATCAGAGAATTCCGATATATTGGTCATCGCCAAATATACTCTTCCGATCTCCTCGACTCTGTCTTTTGATTTCTCTGGGCGGGAACGAAATATATTAGAAGGTGTTACTGGTAGAAACGTTGTCAAACACTGAATACCTGTGACATCATCAATATATTGGGACAAGTTCAACGCGAGTCACTAAATCAGTTCTAAGGCTCAAATTCAAGCCGTATGAAGGACACCTCAAATCACTGAAAATTTACCCATCAGAATATAGGCGTCTTAATAGTGACCTTTTAATGACGCACAGCATCCTCAACACTTTCGTACGTCCCAATAAATACCTACTTAATCTAAGTGCCAACACAAACCTTGGGGGCAACGTTCAGGAACCAGAGCCACAACATGGCAGAACGGACTGCAGGCACATCTCCTACTCCCTAAGAGTAGTCGGATGCCAAAATTTGCTGCTAGCTGAACTAGTTCAAGCGACTTCGCAGGAGTCCTTTAAGAGAAAACTTGATATATTCTCTAGGACTGAGGGCAGTATCTCTATTGTTTACAAATATCTTTATAGTTACCTTTATAGTTAGAAATACCTAGGTTCCATCCTGGCAGCATCTGTGATCCACTGTTTCTAAAAACGGGAACCCGTTAAGAGAAAGCTTTTTCTATTATTTTTAGAGTCATTTGATCACTTAAAAGCGCTCTATATGAGCTTGCGCTACCATGTGGAGCTAACATTTGCTAAGTAAAATCCTTGGTTGGTATTTGATTACGAGTAGTTGAAGGAATTAGGTCATCCCTTGGTGACGTGTTACTGTCCATTGTTTCATTATAGTTTCTAGGATTTCCCAATGTGCCAGGATAATGTAGAATACTACGAAACTGCCTTACATATGTAAGGCAGTTACAGTTGCAACTATAACTAAGAGCTATTGATCCTCAGCTACGTAATTAAAAAAATATTTACTGTCCCCATGTCTATTTTCAACCTATGAATTATACACCACATATTATATTTTGACTGTAGGACTGGGTTAAAAAACCGATAGTCGACTGTCGGACTGTTTATAACATAGTGCCGTGATATGACGGCTCTCCTTGTCTTGGATCTATTCTCTCACCATAAATTCTTCGTTGAGTCCCTAAAAATCATGTAGCCTAATAGTTTTAAGCATTGTCAGGGACAGGTCAAAAAGATCCATAGCAATCCGTGGGTTGCTTTTGAACCTATTTAATATATCTATTTTCCCAACCAAGATACATATCCTAATCGTGTAGGTTTTGAAACTAAACTACTATTTTTTGGATGCTAGTTTTGTTCATTCATTACTCGGACTTTTCTGTCTTCTCATAACAGTATCACTCCACATTGTACATACATTTTTTCGGCATATTTGTATCAAAATGTTTATGTTCTGAGAGAAGTGTTTCAGTTATTGAGCAAAAATCCCACTTGTTTAAACTAGTTTCGTCTCACTATATTTTCTATATACAAAATCTGTTTCGCCGCATTTTTATTGACCAATGGAAGTAGTTTGAAAGTAGTCTTAGTTTTTATTGGTATTCAACTTTTCTGACCACAGCAATTTTTATCGTTTTATTTTATGCCTTCAAGTGTTATGCAGTCTACTAAAGTTAGATGCGTACATTGATAAGATTTCCTTTACCCTATTTACAGATTATACCTTTTCTCCATAAATGAAACTTGTCAATTTGAAGACCATTCCATTGATAAGCATCGCAAGCGTTTTGCATAGTCAGTAAAGTATGATGACAAAGAAGAAAAGTAGTTCATCGGTTATCCTTGAACTGAAAGAATTAGTTGATCATATCAATAACACTATTCCTGATGTCCCAGGAAAACAACGTCTAGTTAGAATGTGTCAAAAAGAGACGACTCATTTTGAGTCGGTAAGTCCTTTTGTTATTTTTAATACATATCCTGTAGTAATATCATGAACAGGGGTGATGTGTCATTAATTTACACTTGATGTCGCCTCTTTCCTATTTACTTGGTTCTTTAACGAGATTTTCGCAGTTGCGAAACCTTAGCTATGACAGATATCTCTGTCTTATTGCATCCTCCGATCAAGCTGAAATCAAAACACTCAATTAATTCCATTTTCAATCAATCGGACCTATCAGAATCATCATGATGTTAGGTTTTTCGTATGTTAATTCTTTCAAAACCAAGAGAATTCAGGGGAATCCAATTTTATTTTCAACAAAATCACTGGCATTTATATTTCGGCAATAAATATACAATTAGCAGATGCAGCTGCTGCTTTCAAATCATTGGCATGCTCTGAGCACCAGGATTCTCGGTCCTTACACAAACTTTGTCCAACTTCATTGCGTAAGTCTTCGTTTGTAGTCAAACTCGCGGTCACCCGGCGTAAACCGATGGGGTTCAATCAGTTGTAAGGAGCCTGAGGAAACCCAGTGCTTATAAGCGGGACGTTTCGCGAGGCTCATCTACACTTTCTGATGGGATGGTAGCTAACCTTGAACTTAGCTCTGCTTGATATTTAGTTGCAACAGAAGCTGCAACTAATTTGTTGACACCGATCGGTTTAGGACGATGAGTTTGTTGGCCCTTGGAACGTAAGGTGAGATTGGCACAGACAAGGGCATGATCAGAGTTCAGATAGGTACTCCAAAAGGAGTGACAGTCTTGTACACAACCACGCCAGCGGTAGCTGACCGCGATATGATCAACCTGAGTTCAGGCTTTAGATGCAGAGGGAGGACTCCCGGTGGCACATCGGCGATGACTGTGTTGGTAGCTAGTGCTAGCCAGAAACAGGTTGTAGTTTGCGCACAGTTGCAGTGGACCTGTGACCAACAACCCCCATCGGCCACCTAAACGACTCTCCTGTGCCTAGACGCCTGACCTGAGCATTCAATTCTCCAGCTAGTACTACATTATCCGTCGAACGCATTTTCTGTAGACGGATTGGTAACTGGTGGCAAAGCTCATCGTTGATCGCATCCGGGCTGTAATCTGTCAGAGCACGGGTGTAGATGACAAAAAGACATCGTTTCTCACAATGATTTCTCCGCACTTTGATGGAATTTTCTAACCATACAGCACATAACTGACTGTTAATAGGGACTCAGTCGATCAGTGCTGCCTCAGCATTAGCGCTTGGTGAGCCACCAGTAAAAACAGACGAAGACGCCACAGGATCCCCGGATAAACGCACGCAAAACAAGCTTTTAGAAGCGACAGATGGAATGAGAATTTGTAGTACATCACCAGATTTTTGACTACGGGTCTCGGATAGACAACAGACGTTGATAATAAGACTTTCTAAAGACATAGATAACCCTATCTATTGTGTGATCTGCATTAGTGTGCGAATGTTGAAGGAAGCCAGTTTGAATGGTATACGTGGTTTCAGGAAGACTCAGTATTCGTATTCGGTGGTAGCATTCAACTTTCAACCAGTCAGTGACTCGGGACCGCTTAAATAGGACAGGGCTTCCACCATAGGCGAGCTGCTGTATAAGTTGAAAAATAAGAATACAATGAGAATAGAAAGTAGACAAGTGATGTAGTATATAAAATAAAAATAAATGTGATATGTCTGAATGTTAATTGAAGCAAGAATAATATTTCCAGTAGTAATTGTCATTTGATTTGTGTGTGGGCTGTGATACTTCCTGGGTGCCCAAACAGAAGCAGGTGATTTTCTTAGGGGGACACACCTAGAATCTCCGACTTAAAGGTCTGATCCATAAGGCCTTAAAGCAACGTTAGGAGATGCAATCTCATGGTATCTGGTGATCAACAATAGGTTCATACGCCATTTGTTCCCTCAACATCCTGGAGACTATGTGCCCCATTGCTTTGTAACCAGGGTTTTCCAACTCTCCTAAGTAGACCCTCCGTGTCCACCAGCCCGGTTAAAGCGTCTGACATTCGCCTTTCGTCCTCTCTCTTTCGTAAAAAACTCCCTCACCGCGAGAAGGCAGTGATTATGACTACCCTGACGGTGACTGCATACACGTGGCCATGTGAGTGTATTTCGAGAGGGAGAGCGGACTCTCCTCACCCTTGGCCTTGCCAGGGCATGTGGGAGCATAACTCACGGGACTTGGCTCTTAAACTATTATCGAGTTTGACAAGAGTGAAAAGAATATGTCACACATATGTAACATATATTTCATGTTCGTCAAATGTTAGTTGGGACTTCAGTATTGATTTATGCTAATATTCAGTCTAATAATAGTGAGTAATTATTAGTTCTCTCCACTCATTTGGAGATTTATATCGTTCTGGATGGATTGTTAATCATCTATTTTTCTGAAATCTTAGTCAAAAACGAAACAATTGTCAATAAGGAATGTTTTCACTCTCGCTAATGATTCTATTAAAATCATACCTTTTGAACTGCCCCCAAATGCCCTGGTACGGCCAAGAGTGGGGAGAGTCCGCTCTCCCTCTCGAAATGCTCTCACATGGCCACGCGTATATAGCCTCTGCCAGGGAAGTCCTACTCACTGCCTTCTCGTGGCGGGGGTGTTTACAAAAATGAGAGGACGAAAAGCGAATGTCCGGCGCTTTAACCGGATCACAAACCAATGGTGCACATAAGCTCCAGTATCCTGCGGGAACAAATGGCGTATGAACCAATTGTTGGTTACCGGCTACCATGAGACTGCATCTCCTTACAATGCCCCACTGCCTTGTGGATCAGACCTTCAGGTCGAAGGCTCGGGGTGTGGCCCCCTAAGAAAACCACCTGCTTCGGTTCGGGCACCCGGGCAGTATCACAGCCTTCACACATCGATTGAGATTTGTGTGGCGCATATGTATTTGGTGCCTCCTTGTACCAATATCTATGTGTTAAAATAAATAAATAAATACCTTTTGAACAAGATAGTGGTTATCTGAACTCAATTATGCTGTGAATAAGGAGTTAGGTGTTAAAGAGAAAGTTACTGTATTCGAATCTCTATGTGGACATCGACACTGTGGTGCAGGTGTATTCAGTTGGAAAATCCTATATAGGATAGAACAGTCGTTTTAGTTTTCACTACTAATCATAATCTATATTTTGATTAAAAAAATGATGGTTTTACGTATTGCTTACGTGTTACCATATCTTATAGATTGACTAGTTCTTGTAATGTACGTTTACATGACTTGTAAATTATTCTCATAACATTTGTAATCTGTACATACTTGGATATTTTTTACTGTTTGTCCGTTTTACTAAAATTAAATCTCCAAAAATCTGTTTATATTAGTTGCCGTCTGACGTAGCCGACGATTCAGCTGTTTGTTCCAATTTGCCATATTTCAAAGCGATAACCACAATAGCCAATTCTTATGGTAATCGTCTTGTGGATTTATTATGTCGTTATCGTCTACCGTTGGAATCAACTGTCAACAGTAGTATTCATGTACAGCAGTTTGATGATGATGATGATAATCACAATAATGTTGGCAGTTCTCTTAATGCGATTCATTCAAATAGTAATGATTATTTATTACGATGCGATAAACAAGGTGAAATTATTGTCGTCAATCTTTTCTTTTGGTATTATATACTTGATTTTATTGTTCAGAACGATATAGAATTGTAACGATAGCAGTTTTCCATTGACTTCTTTCTTGTTTCACCTTAATATACATGATTGTGTAATAAAGAAATAGATTTGCAGCTCAAATAAACCAGTCATACTCAACGTAGGACCTTGGGATGTATGTGTATTGGTTCAATCTGACACATTCCCTTAGTATAGTGAGATGAAATTACTAAGTCACCTATCAGCGTAGTAGATATAGTAACAATATCAATGGTAGTAGAAAAAGAAGATATGGTTGGAGAAGTAAATATGAATGTCTAAAAAGGTTTCATAAGGTAATTAAAAATTTTGGAATTTAAGAGAGGACAACTAGTGGATTCACCTGGGTCATTGTGGACGATTCTAAGCTATGCGATCAAAGGTCTCTAACCACTGGTTGCAACAATCATGCGACCTCCTACCAAATGATATGCGCCGACCTACACGGCTCTGTCCAATTGTTTATAACTTTACATATATATATATAATTGTTCCATAAATGGATCCCAACAGTCACCATTCATTATTCTCTTCGGCATATAAGAATTTTGATATAGGAAATGTACTCACTTCTTTGTATGATGTCATACGTGCATACCTCTGAGTTGTCTCATACTAGGTTGAAACAGCTGTTTAATAGTTGTGAACAATTGGTAGGATCTTTTATCATGTCTTTTCTGATCTGGAAAAAGATAAAATTATAATGAATGTTTTTTGACTGCAAATAATAAGGGTTGTCGGCTTAAATTTTATAGCTTGCCCAGGATGTAAGCAAAGTAATCTAATCCTGTTGGAAAAATGTGGAAAAATACTATTAATGGCCCTGAATGTTTCAATCCTATCTATCATATGGTCACTATCGACGAAATGTGATAAAATAAATTTGAGTATACCTATAGTCTTAAGGGAGCTGACGCTTTCTGGTAGATCTGATCTTGTACCATCCACCTTCATAGCCTGAGGTGTTGCCAGTGAACCATTCTGGTTGTATCTGATCTTCTGTAGGGCTTCCAGTCGATTACTCCCAATAATCTAACGTCGAAACAGTGTACGCGATGTTGGATTATTTAGACTAGTGGCCACTTTGTAGTGTGATCGATATAATTCGATCAACATCAAGAAGGACTAGAGAAACTTGACATTTGTCACAATAGGGATTACTGGCTTATATATCTAGAATACACCAGATATAGTTATTTTCACAGGAACAACTGGACCGGTAATTTGGTAAAGCTAGATAGCTCAACTTTTATCTCAGCAGGCACTATCGGTTAACCAGATAGTGGCAATCGGAATGACTGATTTCGTAAAGTATTGCTTTTACGATGACTTGTCTATCGCATAGGATATCGATGTGTTTATTTTCGTTGTCCTAATTTCACACAGTGGAGATTTTCAACATTCGTGCGTACCTATTAAAGTTAATTTAATTCGAGTATTTGTTCAGGTAACTACATATTGATGTTCTTTGAAAGGGGAGTATACCGTGTGGCAATTTATCCAGCTGGGGAATAGTTTTTATATAAGGTTAAAAATATACTTCGGTTGTATGTATTGAGTTATGCCTGTTTGTAAGATTGCTTTTAACGTATGGTTCACAGTATTTTTCTCTTTCGATATATTACGATCATAACTAAATACCATGACGAGGCTAGTCACGTTCTGACGGTATCACATTGGATGTCATTTGTCCTCACCTTGGATTTATTTCTAGTGAAATCCCTAGTGAATGTGACAAGTATGTTCTAAATGCGTCAAATTCTAGCCACATTTCTGATGTGATTGTATCAGATGTTGAATATTCTCACAAACTATGTATGTCGAGTAGAATCCCCAGTCGATGGCATGATGAACCGAAAGGCATATCACGTCTGTCCAAAGCAGTCAGAGAACCAGTTTGTCGAGATGTAAATTTCTCACAGGCAGAAAATTTGAACTGAGTCCAAAATTATCCCAATGAGTATAAGGCAAATGCGTATTTTTCATTTGATTGTCTTGAAGGTAAATCAAGCCTTGATAAGTCACATGTCGTGTCAGTTACACAGATCGATGTTCAAAGTGTGTATTCATATTATAACTCAAACAATGGCCTTAGGTTTTTTGACGTTAAAGGCAAGAAGAGCGTGCATAGAACTTTCATACAAGTCAGAATCACATAGTGGAAGGCCTCAAATTATTTGTCTCTGTGTATACCCAAATGCTCACGTACAATGGAAGTGTGAGATATGAAAAGATAATTCAAAACGGGGCCATCGAATTGCTTATAACATTGAAATTTGAGGATCCTACATTGTTTCATGAGGGAAGAGATAATGCATGCAATGCCAGGGTAGATATTTGGTGTCATAAGGCTGATCCAATCTTTACAGACGAATGTAAGACAAGAACTACCCACAAACCTAGAGGGAAAATGATGTGTGGTAGTGAGAGTGGAACGTGATTGGTCATTGAGCATGAACAAAAAGGCATAACCTACTGACTATTAAGTATGGATTTCCTCCTCTGCTATTGATTTTTACTCCCGTCTCAGAGTGACTACTTGTAACTGCGTTGAATAAAGTATTATCTAGTGTTAATCTGGCTCTCTGTTCTGGGTTGTGAATCCTAGATCTGGTATCTGTATTATGTACCATTCATGTATCGAATGTAGCTTAGCGTAGTATACCGCGAAGAGAGAAAAATATTTTAGAACCATCCGTTATATCACTTTTATATTAATTGGCCGATTTATCATGTACTTAGCTTCGAACCTCACTTCTGGTGTGAGGGCTAGTGATACTACTCGGTCGCCCAGACCGAAGTAGGGGCAATGGGTATGGAACCTGAGTCTTAGTAATTGAATTTCAAGTGACCTTATCATTAAGCTATCTGTTTTATGCGATAGGACTGCCAAGTAAACGGCACTTACGTCAAATTTACACTGTTACTTTATTTACTTATGCCTGTTACCTCTCGTGGAACGTAGGCCGCCGATCAGCATTGTCCATCCAACTATTTTCTGGGTTTTCCTTTCCAGTCGTTGCTAATTCCTGTTAATTCTTTTGATGTCTGGTTCAGATTTCCGGCTGAATGTGTTCTTTCTTCTTCTCGTTTTGCCTTGAGGATTTCGAGCTAGGTCTTAATTTGTGATACAGTTTGGTGATTTCCAAAATATGTGTACCATCCACCTCCAAAGATTTTTCCTAATTTCCTCTTCAGCTGGGATATGTTTTGTTCCGTACCACAGTAGCATGTTGTTGATGTCTGGCCGACGAATTTGGAGTATGTTGCGTAGAAAACTGTTTGTAAATAGTAGCATTGTTAGCTATTAAACTTAACAAAATCGGTTGTTACACTCTTATACTCTAACCTCTTTCTCCTTTCATTTATTTCCTCATGTTTTTGGGAGCCGATATGTGCCAAATTAAGCTTATAATAGTCAGTCGAACACACTTACGTGTTAGGTTCTATACGATTTAAGTCTGTTTTATGTATATGTAGTGTCATACATTCATCCCTAAGCGTCATTAATAAGTATTAGGTTACATCTATTATGCTAGTCGGTGTTGATATTATTATTTAATTAAACCTAATGTCATTATATAAATACGATAGCTAGCCTACCACTCAGTGAACAATATTATTATGATAATTTGATTTTATTTCTTCAAATGATATTTTCCAGACTCTCTGCTCGTTGATTTAATATGTACACAATCAGATGAAGGTATCGATGATTTTTCACGATCTAGAACCTGTTATGGTAATGCAGATGAAGCTAGTCTATGGGCTCCTGCTTTGTGGATTAAAGTTGTGACTCGTGATTCATCTCGTCTTAATAATGCTTGGCGAGGTAATATGTGTTTGTTTTGCTAATTATTCTTTATTGTGAATTTTTTTTGCGGTAGCACGTGAGTGAGTAATTTTTGATGCATTTTTATCCATTCAATCTGAAAACTTAGACTACAGTTACAGAGTAATGCAATATAATAGGTAAGTGTTCCGGTAGTCGTAATAATTAGTAGTAGTAATGGGTCAGTTGGTACTGCCAAGTTGTATCTCCTCATTTCCGTAACTATTTAACTGGTCCTCCTGGTCTCCTACATTGTACGGACATTCCATGTACCTATATTAATTGTTGCTCTGGTTGTTAGAAAAGGGGTATCGTCCTCGTCGCTTCCTAAGAATCTCGGCCTTCATCATGAGGCGTCATAATTGTTATGAATGAAGATCGTTGAAATCGGAGGGCAGAGTTTAATAGGTTCAAATATTTTATTGTGGTTAGCATTTGTTTAACAAGATTGTTTTGTATAGGATGGAGTTGTTGACCCCATGCTCAACCCTCCTCCTTTACTCGAGATTGGGACCGGCAGTAACTCTAGAAGAGCTACAGGCCGAGTTACTTTTCATACACAACTGCAAAACATGATTGATCATGGTAAAGCAAGCCTTTAATGTTGGTATATAATTACTGATGTCCGACTATTGCAGTCTCTTAATTTCTGTATGATGTCAGTATGAAGTTATTATTGGTGATGTTATGGAATAAACTTTTGAATTAGTGATTAATATAAATAGTAAACTGATTTTTACTGATCTGGATGGTTTAATTGTTAAGCTTTTATTACTGTTTTGAACGACAACATCATGAACACATACTTTATATTCTACTACATTCTATTTCATGTGATCAATCTAATAATTGTGTAGTTTTGTCAAGTAATATACATCAGGTGGTATGTTTTTGCGTGCTTTCTTATTTCGACCATTAAAGACATCAACCTAGTATCTCACACACAAAAGTTGTTACATTTCTCATAAAGACAAAACGAGGAAAGACGTAATCGAAAGCTACTAAGCGGTAGCTTAATGGTTAAGATTTTCAACTTCCTGCCACTGAATATTTGGTCAGAACTCCGCTCCATCTATTTAAGTTTGGACAACCGGTTAATGCCATTCTTAGAGTGTATTAGTCATACCCACGTAGACGGTAAATGAGTTTTTTAAAAAATTAATAAAAGTATTTCCCTAGCTTAATTATTTATAAGGGATCACCATTCACGGGAGTCAGCAATGATCACCGGACCAGTTGTTATGAATGCGCCGCTATCTCAGTGAGTGTAGATCTACAACTTCACCGACTGAACTGACTCTCTGGTCCTGAACCTTATATCTAGCTTCTCTATTACACTGATGGATAGTTCCACTACACATACAGGTGCTTTGTAAATGCATGATCATATGCATGTAATTTGTAACTAGCTAAAACAACAGAGCTTGGGATTACTACATGTAGGTTACGTATGAATTTCAGCTTTTCTAAATATACTTCAATTCACGCCATTGGACTATAGAATAAAATGTCTTTCCTTTAACTGTGGGTTCGAAATCAGTAGATGTCACTCATAATGTAGCGCATCCCTTTGCATGTGAGTTCCGGTGATTTTTTCGTCCGTCATACTTGAAATGAATTTATTCGACAATATAGTCTATTATTTACATATGTTCAAGTGGTTTTAATATAAACCTTTCTTGGTGTTTGCTATTTCTATCAATTAACTTTTGTTCATATGGATATAGGATTTGAGCTGGGTTTATTTTTATGATTAAGATGAAGAATTTAGGGTTGGGGTGCATAGGTGCTAACCGTAAAACCTAATCTAAATCTTAAATCATAACCCTAAGTCACAACTCTTAGCCCTAAACTTTTGTTTTAACTGTATCCCCAAGTTTTATATCCATCCCATAAATCTTAAATTCTGCATACTAGTTTAGACACTAGCTGTAAACTCTAGATCATAATCATAAGTCCTGAACTGTAGTCCTTATTTCCAGTCCTAGCACTATCAATTATTTATCCATAATTTCTGTTTTCTGGTCGGCTGAATAAAGTCAAGAGTTTATCAGTCATTTCAAGAGTCATTCAAGCTCGTTTTTATGGTTTAGTTCTACCCTTTTTTACTAAAATTTCTGATGTTCATATAGGTGAAGCTTCTTCAAAACATGTAGCTTGTTTGGGACGTCAAGCGGAAGAATTAGTCCTAGCATCTCACTGGTATCAACGAGGTCAACCGAAATATTGGATTCGTGTAATCGTACATTGGCTACCACATGGATCTTTCTGTGCTGAAATCAATGATATAGATTCAGATTTACGTGAATATCTTCAGAATATTGATGTGACATTACTTACTGGTTCTAATCCATGGATTAATAACTGTGATATTCCTGCTATCATTTTCAAAAGTCCTAACTATACTGTATCTCTTAGAAATTTAATCTTACCTGTATATAAATTCAAGAAATTTTTAAATAGTTTTACTGAATACGATAACACGTCTGGTGATTTCAAACAATTCAAATTTGAAGCTATAGAAAAGATACTGTCATTGTTGAATAGATTGTACAAAACAGTTAATCACGAAGAACAGAAGGCCAGTATTCTTACTGATGAAACGTTATTGTTTGAAGTGGATGATTCATTGAATTCCTTTAAAATTACTTATCCAATGGATGCAGTTTTACAGAAATGTGCATTATGGCCATTTCTAATAGATTCTTATGGTCGGTAAGTGTTTCTTCCTGAAGATGTTAAATTGGATGTTGAAATGATTTTAACGGAATAAACTTATTATATGATGAAACAAAATGGAGACGGTTCAACAAAGGAGAGTATCTTTATGTGACCAATACTAATATGCTGTATAGAAATAAGTTAAATAGTGTATACATATTGAAGTGACTCCAAACAGTAAATTATCCTCTAAATATCCTTGAATCGGACATTTACAGTCAGTCATACGCAATGTAGAACCAGATACGTGTACACCCATTTAAGTTGCCTTACCCCATTGTGATGAACGAAGATCTGGTGTGGAAAGTCAATTTTCAACTTTGTTTTCACTCTAATTGCTGTCTGCTCCTCTCGCTGTTTTCTTCAATTCAATCTTCTTTTTGAAGGCATTCCACTTCTGATCGCTACTACATACTACTTATGTCTGTCGGCGGAAGTAGCATGCACCACGCTATTAACACGGGATGATGAAATTGTCAGGGCAAATTTCAGATTAGTAGAGACAGTAATAGTATCAGTGGTAATAGAAATGATTTGTCATAGAGCACGTGATTGGATTAATATAGGGAAAATTTCTGATTAAAAGATTTGAGATTTAAACGACGACACGTTGAACGTGCTCGACACCGACTACATTTCCTTTCAGGCGACCCCGGTAGTAGTAGCCCTTATACTTAAAGTGTAGCTCAGAGCTCTGAGTACACGAATCTGTACTTGATGAACAGTTGCATCACTTGAACGCATATTTATGATTGTTGACTTTTATTTATTTCACTGTTGGTTGTATATAGTGTGTATTCCTGGAGCAAACATCAACTCTGAAATGTGGCAGGTACATCCAACTGACGAATTTCAAACAGAATGAAATGCGGATCCTGGATTCCAATACTAACCATATTTCTATTGTATTTGAATTTATTTTCGCTTTTTAGTGTAGATGAAGTAAATCGTATAAATTTGGATGTTTCAGCTTTGATTGCTTTTGTCTCTGAACTGTCACAATTCAATCCAATATATTCTCCTACTGATCAATTGATATCAATTGACAATAAAGATAATCATGCCGAAGCTGTATCTGATAAAATTCTAGAATGTTTACAATCAGTAGAAAGACGTACACAATTACTGTTGAACCATCCTCCACTGAAACCAGAAAAATTCGAATGGCTAATAGAATCTGAAGCTGAAGTACCAGTACTTCTATCGATGGATAAATATCTTCGAGGTATTGTGTGACCAATTTATTATTGTGGTTAAATTCATTACTAGCTATATTTCTGTGATCAGTCCGTGACGTAAACTATGAATTTCAACAATTTTCACAAGTCGTTTATGGTAATAACAATGTGATTTATCATTGAGTAATTTCGATAGATAATTGCCGAAGTCCTAGTGAGAAGCCTCGAGCAGTGAAGTTCGACCATATGCTGTGTAGTGTACTTACCCATCGACGGTATTGGAAGATAGTTGTGTATTATCATGATTTGATGCAAGGAAATAATGAAATGTTTACATTGTTAAGATGAATAATGTCTACAACTTGGTAGTCGTGGTATTTGAATACCCACTGGATATTTAATGCTAATTAAGTCTGGTTTTCATTCATTACTGAACGATATAAACAATTGAAAACTACTCACATCAGACGTAGGAAGATTAAAGTATTTTTAACATTCAACAGATGTTTCAACTATTTCCACATGGTTTCTTCATCAACGAAGCATCAAGTTTATGTAATTTTTGGTTATCGAAGGTGTATGAATGCATGACCAACGAGACCGTAGGGATAAATAATAAAAAAAACTATTGTATCTAAACTAGAACGTTAGAGTATAAAGAATAAAATACAATGGTCACTTTTTAACTACAGTAATTTTGAAGTAGAAAACGTTATGACAGTACTCCATACACTAAATAAGTAAGTGCCCATTCGGATTTGGTAGGTGAGTACCGGGTTCGAGTCCCAGAGTGAATATCAACTCTGGGATGCAGGTATATCTAACTGACGAGTCCCGAATAAGATGACACGCACGTCCTAGATTCCACTGATAACCACATCTATTTTATACCAACTTGTGTTATAATGGCTATATCAAGGCGATTTGTACAAGATGCACATATACCAACAAAGACTGATCAAATTTCAGTCAGAAATATCAACAAAAGGATAGTTCAAAAACCATTTAAAATTGAATTACACTCAATAAAAGCTTTTAATTTGTAGATTAGAGGAGGCACAAAACTAAATACTACTACTTTGCAAATTTTGAATTACATGAAATACTGTCCTTTCCTCCAAAAAATTGCTTTCTTTGTTTGTCATTGCATCTTTTTCTTTCTTTTTTCATATTAGTTCTAGATTGTTTATGACTGTGTTTGCTTGCATAAATACTTCATAAATAAAGAACTATGTGGATGAAATTAACCATTGGTTATAAGTATGATTTTTATGATTTTCTGTGATGCATTTACTTGCATTCACATAATTCAATCACATTACCTAACTGTTACAATTTCTTTTCTTACGACTCATCTACTCTTGTTGGTTAGTATTTCTTGGACACTGCTACACTCAACGAAACCCAAAATCAAAACACGGTTGAACAGGAACGTAATTATATTACAAATAACAAGGGTGGATTGAATTAGGAATCACAATAAGAGAAACGCTACTATATTTATAATTTTTACGTAAGAAGATTCTAGAATCTTCTCCAATTTATCCTCTAGCGCTGATTGGTTAAGAAATAGTCAGTCAACGTGCTCCAACACGATTCCGCCTAGAACATGATTTGATCTAATATATATCCCGCTAACACTAACTGTTCACATGGTCTTATGTACGAACCAATATATCGATTTTCATTTGAAAATATATTTTACATTACAAAATTGGTTTTTTCTCTTCTTTTTTTTTAAAGGCAAAGTACCCGTTGTATGCTTAAGTGCTGTTCATTCATTTTTAAATATTCTTGCCTTAATATCTGGACCAAGTGAATGGAAACGTGGAATTCGATTAATTAGTCACTTAGTTATATTACCTGATTTAAATTCATCAGGTGAAATAATTTCACCATTTAGTAAAACAAGAGAATCTAAGAGTTCCAATTATTTATTAACTCAAGTAAGTTATATATACGTGAAAAAAAGGTGACAAATAATATATTTTGCTAAATCTTAATGTATTTGAATCTTGTCTCCTGTTATTTGACGATATACTTGTTCCTTTTCGTTTCGTATTGTGATCAAAACGACCCTGTCAGTTGTTAGAAGTTAGTCTCTTTCAAATCCTCTATTTTATTATGATTGTAACTCCTTGAGTAGTGGATTGGTGATTTTCTTAAATTCAGTTGATTAGCGATTATCTAGACAATGAATTTAACAACTGTGAGACACAAGTAACTTGACATATTCAACGTTTCTATTAACACTGATAGTCAACTATCATAAATGGTCTTGAATCATTCTTTTAATCCTCTTTGAAAGGTTTGGTCAATTTGGAAAAAAAGTTGTCTTCTTCATTTGATTATCTTCAAAAGCATTCCTCAAATGTTTTCGTAAATTCTCCTAAAATTTCACTATAAGTTTTAGTACCTTAGTATGAGTCACTATCAGATCACTTATTGTATTAATGAGTAGTTCGTATCTGAATATTGAAAAGCTGTCGATTGTATGAAATAATGGGCAGATGTTGGTAACTATTCCATAGACTAATAACACATTATTTTCTGTTATTTTTAATTTCATATCATACACTTTTACAATATTTAACCAGTATCGGCCTTAAACACTTTCGATTACATCATAATGAATTGTCTGATTGTAGGCGGTTCAGATAAATAATGAGGTTGTTTCAAGAGCAAATGGATGATGCATTGACCATTTGAAGTGAGAGATTTTCAGTTTGAGTTCAGGTGTGAGCATCGACAGTAGGACGAGAAATATGCCCTGAATCCTACTACTAGCGACAATCTCATTCTATGTTACTTGTATCATAATGGCTTTATCGAGTCAATCTGCACAGTGTGCATATATACCAACTAAGACAGATCAAATTTCAGTCTGTAATTTCAATAACAGGACAATTCAAACCTTTCCTAACAATTCTATAAATGATTAAAATGCATGGTAGTATGTTTAAAGAAAAAGATTTTAAGAAAGTTCGGAATAAGATTGGTTACAATGTATTGATGACAATGTAAACCCTTTTCTTTAGAAAAACGTATTAATATTTTTAGACTGATTGGTGGTATACATGATTAGAAATGAATGAATTTTAGACCATACTCATCATGTAAAATTTGATATACAAATTCATTTTCATCACAAACTGTTATCCATCTAGTGGCAAACCATGACTGATTGATTGAAATATTGAAACCTGTACTGTTTGTTGGTAGAGAACTGTATTATCCTGGATTTAAACTCCTTAGCAGTGTGCACATGAGATTTTTACATGCAGTCGAAACCACCAGTTGTTATTCTCTTGCGGCAAGTACATAACGCTTAAAATACATTGACTCGGAACCCAGTAGTTTTCTATGTTCCATTTTCGTTACAACTTTCTTTCCTACTCTCCTTCCTTTATTATTAGTTTTTAAGAATTTACAAATTATCTCTCTACCAACTTTATTCAACATCCAACCCACCGTATTGAACTGATAAGGTTTTTTATAATATTAAGTGTTTATTATTACTATGTTAGATCGATTACTAAATTATTAATCAGACACGGATTCGTATGCTTAACCTTCGGCTACGCTCTAATTGGGAAGATTAGTGATAACACCCGTATGGTAGAATTGTCAAGTGAATAGTTCTAAGGCTAGAGATATATGTATTCTAAATAAAAGTAGGAAGTTGATTGCAGACACTATCGTTCTTCATAGACTGAAATGGTTCGAAAATACGTTCCAAGTGCCTGACTTTCACATAACTCCGATTTGAAATGTTTGTTTACATAGCATTAAGTTAGGAAAATCTAAATATGGGAGGCAAAAGACTAAAATATGGGGTCATTCCATAAAGTCTTTGTCCTGTATGTATGATTGAAAACATTAGGTAATATGATCCAAAACTGGTCTAGCTGAAGCAATTACATTCATTCCCTACATTCTATATTTTGAGCTTACTATCATTCCATACTTTTCATCACAGCTAACTTTATTTCCACCCGTTTGCTTCAGATTATTTAAATTTTTTCTCACTATGCTGGTGTGAAATGACAGATTTTATATCAATGTTGACCGACGCGGTTCATGTGTAAATAATAAAGATGGAACTTGTTTAGTGGATTCATACTAAATGGAATTAAACTATAATCCAATTGATTAATATAAAAACTGTTCAAAGCAATGGGGTTAGCAATGGAACGTAGGTCACTTTTTCTATTTGAGACTCGTCATCTAGGTTCGACCGTATACGGGTGTTGATGTTCCCAGCGGCTTAGAACCGAGTACCTTTTAATTGAAATACCCTACGTGTTTTCCACTTAGCTACTGAGTTCATTTAGTCACTGGCTTGTGATGAGTTATAATTCAAAATTTTAAAAACAAAATAAAACTGTTACATACTAGTCTGTTATATCTGTCATCTGTTTTACCATTTTTTTTTATAATTAAAAGTTGCTCTTGCTTTTCGGTCACAGCGAATAATTCGTTCAGTATTCCACCTAATAATTTATTTTAATGGTTAACCGCGCATGATCCTAAAATAAATTTCTGTGTAATAATCCTAATAATACTGTGTCTTCTTGACCTGATTTCCTCTAGAAAAGAGGGTTCTAAACCTGTGGATTAGTATTTGAATATCACATAGTCGAATCATTGTATCTGGGATATTTCCTACACTAAGCTAGTCTTTTTTAGTTGTGGTTCTGTTTGGTAGTTTTCAAATTCACCCTTCATCTATCATGTGCTTCGTTTTCGTAGTGAACTTGGACATAAATGAATTACTCAATTGTTCCATTGCACACACATCAGGTGGTTGGAGTTAACTGGCAAGAAACTCTGTATCAATCTAGTTTTTGTGCTAGTTGACACTCATCTGCGGAATATACCTGTGATTTTCAAGGAGTTGATACTTCGTGTTGGACTTGAGCCTGCACCACCCAGCTTTGTGGTGTGTTATGTTATCACTGAGTTATTCAGATACTGACTGACCTTCTATATGACCTAGATATCTAAAACTAGTTGATCACTGGATGATTAGTGAATACTGTCTTCTCTGTCTAATCCTCTAATGTTAAGGATTGTATTCTATCTATCGAATTGTAATGTATCCACTAATCTAAGTGACTTAAAATCGAATGCACCAAGTTATAAGTTTGAATGGTTATACTCCAATAGGATCAGATACTTTCTAAAAAAGACAACGAACTACTTAATCAATAGACTATTTGGTTCAATGATTCTCTTAAAAGAAAACTGATTTCACACTATTTCAATTAAAAATATGTATGTATGTATATTTATATCTTTCGAGTATTCACTTTTAGAGGTTATATTAGTTAACAAAAATACACTTTGTGATTTTTTCTAGCGTATCATGGAATTCGGCAATGTATTAGAAGCGCTGACAATAACATCCAATGCTGGTTTCCTAAGATCTGTTCGTAAATCAGTAAGCTTTTTCGCGTTTATTTTTTTCCTGAGGAAGATTGGGAAATCAACCTAGTTTATTCATGCACAATAAGATATTGATTAGATAGTAGATTCTCATTGATATAGTTATGACGTGGTAATGGTCGAGCCAAATTTGCAGGTTAGAAAACTGAGTACTATTTGGATACTAGCGAATTCACGCGTATACAGTCACTGAAAGGGAAGTCCTACTCACTACCTTCTCACGATGCAGTTTACGAAATTGAAAAGACGAAAAGCAAATATTTGGTGCTTTAACCGGGTTGGTGGACACGGAGGGTCCACCCAGCGGGGTTGGAATGCCCTGATTCCAAACCAATGGAGCACATGGGCTTTAAGATTCTGAGGGAACAAATGGCATATGAACCAATTGTTAGTCACCGGCTACCATGGGATTTCATCTCCTAACATTGCTCCACTGCCTTATGGATTAAACCTCTAGGTCAAAGGCTCGTTGAGTGGCCTCCTAAGAAAACCACCCGCTTCGGTCTGAGCACCCGGGCAGTATTCCAGCTCACACGAGAATCAAGTGACGAAGTATGGCGCATATATATTTGGTGCCTCCCTGTGCCAATGTTTATGTGTTTGAATAAATATATCTGATACTAACAAAGTTACACTATACGCGACCAATAAAATCACAACTATTTATTGTCTAAGCGTTGAGAAATATTTACCTTGGTTTAAAACTACCTTCGCGTCACTAGTAGTGGCAAATTTATTAAGTAGGTATCAATAGTACTTCATTCTCCGAAATACAATGCAGTTTCGGTCAATCGCTGTGAAATTTTTGATGCTGAACTAATGAATCCTATATCAAACAAACTTACCAGCTGTGTTGATATATGAAATTATCAGTTTGAATCCAGTTTATACAATCGGACAGTTAAAAACAGTAAAATGTGAATACACCTGAATCACTATAATCGATTTTAAACAGTATTATCTAAGAACACTGACTCCTTGCTTCTCATAGACTCGTATTGGTAGCTCAGATTTCTACGCAAAACTCAAGCTGATAATAATCACGTGTTCAAAAATGGAATGATAAATACACGCTACTGTGGAATCCCAAAGTAGTACTTAAGTCGCTTCGTAATTTCAACGATTTCCACAGCCAACATATTGTTAGTAGTTCATGATATGATGGGCTTGTTTCTTGTTATCATCTGATCATGCCAAATCATTTTCTCAGTTTATTATCACAGCGATTCACGGAATATATTATGATTGATTGTGTTCCAGCATGTGTGGTATTTCCCTGAATAATCTGATTGATTAATCTGTTTCTTGCAATTCGCCTAAGAATTCAATGTTTATTTAGGGATCGCTTGGAAATAACCTTCCATCACAAATATGTTTGAATATACAACTACAAATATCTCATTAGATTCATCTTGTTACAATTCGATATAATGAATTATCTGTTGTCCATTATTTTTTATTCTTTAAACAAGTGGTTACTTTGCTTGGGCAACAATTATACTTTCCGAAATAATGAAAATAAACAACTTCCTATCCATCAGTCAGTAACAACGTAGAACTTCGTACGTACGTACATCAGTTCGAGTTGCCACACGACATTATCCTATCCATAATTTGATCTTAAAAATTTGACTATTGAATATAAGATATATTGATAATATGGACAAAAATCAAACTGGCTTTATACCTGTCGCCCTTAATCAAGTTCATAATTCCCTTGAAATTAAGGTAAATGATTGCGTACCAAACAGGCACCGAAGCAAAGGTTAAATATCTTGGATCTCAGTGAAAATGATGAATACTTAGCCTACGGTGTGTAGACCTTTCTCCAGCAAATAAGGTAAATCTAAGATTAGTTAACTGATTTGCAAGTAGTCTAATGACTTTTCCAAATCGAAATTCCCTGGAACAGATAATCAGTATCATTTAGTCTTGGGTTTCGACTCTTGATCTACTAATTTCAACATAGTTGACATCCACTTGTTTGGTGTTTGTTAGCTAACCTAGGTATAGGGATTCATTTACTTGGCCTCAAACAATACTTGATGCTTAGGAGATGTTAATGTCACACGACTGCCTGAACTACAGTAGTAGGTGGGGGTTGAAACTCTCGGCTGAGAGTTCGTCTCTTTTACCACTGAACCACCACTCTACTGATAGGTTTCAATGAGATAAATGAGTCGTGCCTTTTCCAAAAGCTATAGATCGATCGTAATAACAGCTTTCAGTGAATTTGTTACATGTTCTTCAGTTTACACCATAACAATTTTCTTAAAAATTTTTTTTGCACGAATACTTTCTTCATCAAGTTACTTATTTGTGTACTTTTCTTCTTAACTTTTATTTTGCCCTCCCCCTTGAAAAATTAAATGAAAATAGAACCTTAGATATTCGGCATTGTTGCTGCCTGCTCGTGCTCTAACAGAAACCACCCCACGTAATGTTGGATCATCTTCATGAAGTGAATTGATTTGACCAGAAAAATTTCCACTCGATTTTCTCTATTTTCTGTCCGTGTTATCTAAAAAGAAGTCTATTTTCATTATGTCAATCAACATACTTTTTTTCAAGAATACTTTCTGTGTATTCTTTATTTTATTTACATTTGGCAGTGAGTAACATGCTCTTTTTTAGAAAGAATGTTTTGCGATCAGTAATTAGCATTTATTAGGGCTTGTGTTCAAATAACAAAAGTAACTCACTCCATCAAAAGTCCTTCTGATGCTTGTTATTACCACTGTCATATTCTTTTTATCTAGAAATCTATTATTCGCCATTTCTCATACTCGTCATATAAACACATTTCTTTTGTATATTTTAAACTTTGGTTTTGCATAACGCAACCTCTCATCTAACTCCTGAAACTGTATTCCTATTTCTATCTATTTAATAGACTCGTTTATTTTGTTAACGTCAAATACAGTTTAACAGCTACTGAGTAAAATAATATTGTCAAACAGGAGATCTTTGAGAACTAATTAGCTGAATATGTGAAAGGGGTTAGGTGGATCTATTCATTTCGATTCTGAAGTTACTCAACGTTCTATCATAACAGATGGGAATAAGTATTTCTCACTGCTTCCAAAATTAGTTATGGCAGAGGTAATATCAGTTTGCATATGTGAAGTATGCTAATGAAACTCACTATCTATCATAACTCGAATCCTACGGTGGTTCGGCTAAGGTCTAGGTACCACAATATCTTTAACAGTTAAAGTAACATTTGATATATAAATTACCATTGATAAAGAGTCGAACATGATAACTACAACAAGTTACATAAAATTCGTGTTATAAAGTCAGAAAACTCAAGTGCTAATTGCTATCAAATATAAGTCAATACAAAATGGTACTTCAGAAATACTCCAGAAGACTTGTGTGAAACAAAATCACATCCTCAACATAGTGAAGTAGGTGTAGGGAATCGTTCACCATTGAACCGTTGAGTCCTATGCTTACTGGTTGTATGGTGTAGACGAATAGTGACTGGTAGTTTATTCGAAAGTAGGTAGGTAGACTGCCAAGCATGAGTGTGAGAGTGTGTGCAGGATTTGCTTGGTGTGAATGACAATAATCGTGAAATAGATAATGCGCATAAAGACTGCTACTAAGTTGTATTCGATATCGTCGCAGTTATTGACTTTTGGGTACGTAATTGGTAGTGTGTAAGTTGTTGGAAATCGACCACGTCAGGTATTCCGAGACAGTCCTCAGTTAGATTTGAAGACTTACGTCCTGAGTGAAACATTGTAATCTCCCTGAATCTCAAAAAACTAAGTGAGCATGCGAGACATGACACATCTCGATGCCTTGGGGTCTACAAAACAATGGGTGATCACTTCGAAAACCTAATACAACACAGCACTCAAGCGATCGAATTGAGAGGATCATGCTAGTGTTGCTTCAATACAAACAGTAGCAAGCGACTTGTTGGGTAGAACGAACCGCTCTCCTTCGGAACTAACGCTCAGTAATCCAAGGTTGGATATGATTAACACACTTGTGGTCCGACCATATACTCCTGACAGAGACCGCTCATTCTGGTTTCACAATAGACTTGTCACAGCCATCATAAGTCTGGGGATGTCTGGACGTGTGAGGATTATTACGAAAGAGAATAAAGAGATAATATTATGAAAAAGCGTAATTTCTAACAAATGATACGCTCATAGTGGGGGATGTCCATGTCTAGTTCCCCCAAGGGAGAGCAGTAATCATGACAGTCATATTTTATGCGGGACCAAACTAAGTAACTGAGAGCCATGCCAAGGTTCCCTAACTTATCTACACTGGATAGGACTACATAAACATTGAATGCCACCCTATGCATTACGCATGAAAAATATACACATGGAAACAGGAGGTACTGGAAAAATACCTGACTCAAAGAGAAGGCTTTTCAGAAGGATTCTGACTGTGGCTCTCGATTCATATCAAGAGATAGATACAGCGCCATAGTTCAAAGCAACAATGGATAATCTCAAAATTCACAATTGCTCCAAAAATTATAAAACGTGGCTTTGCAGATGATCAAGCTCATGTAACTGAGTATGGCAAACATTCAAAAAGTACTCACTGTATCGTATTTAAGTACACAAAGTTTTTGTGCTTTCTCTGTAAAAAAAGAACGAAAATCTATCGAACGGAACGTAGAAACATGTACCTAGGCGTGTGTTGGGCTAAACGGTGAATCTTACAGTGTGCTAAACGAACGCCCGTAGTTTTAGAAATAAAATGTCCGAGCTAAGCCTAATGGTGGACCAATTAAGTCCCGATATAATTACATTTACAAAAACTTGTTTCACAGTAGATATAGAATGTTCTCCCGTCATCGCAGGCTATATATGTATTGGAAGTGATAGAGTTCTAAGTCCCAAGGGGGGGCATAATGTTATACGTTAGGGATCACTTTCATATACAATCAACCATATCGGAGGCTCATGTTAGTAGTACATGTGAGGTAGCATGTTGTAAGATTAAATCTAGAAAGGGGTTAGTGACTATAGGGGGAATATACCGTAGTCCGTGTTGCCTAGCTGACGACCTTATCGTAAGACACATCTGTTCTTGGAGTATGGCAGAATGTTGTCTCATCATTGGAGACTTCAACGCACCGCATATCAACCGGATAGAGCTTACAGCTCCAGGTAGTGGTTTCGATAGCGACCTTTTATCTACCGTTATTGCACTTGTACAATGTATCACAAAGCCGATACATATTGATTTGCAACATGATCCGTCACTGCTGGACCTCGCCCTCACCCACCACTGTGAGAATGTCTTTGATATCCAGCACCTTCCCCCACTAGTGAACAGTGATCACGTTGTAATTCACTTTAAGTTTAGGACACATGGTATACGATTTGTATCTGCTCCACCCCGTCCCAATATCTGGCGAGCTTATATTCCGGAAATCAGAAACTGTGCTATCTCGACTGATTGGTCGATCGACGCGGATGGATTGATCGAAGATGAATGGAATAAGTTTAAGGCTACATTCGAGTCCGTAACGTCACCGTTTATCCCATGGTCAGCACGTAAGCTATCACATTGTCATCCATGGATTAATAAGGAAACCCGGAAGCTGTTATAGCTTAGGAAACATTTCTGGGACTTATTCTTGTTGACAGGTCATGCACCATATAAGCGTGAGTATCAAATATTCCTGAATATTTGTCAGAAAACCATAGCTAAATCCCTCACTACTTACGAACGACAGTTGGCATATGATAGCCGTACTCATCCGAAACGACTGTTTTCGTATGTTAAACGGCGGATGAAACGTAGTGATGGTATTTCCACGTTACTGTTACACGAAACTTCAGATTTACTAGCTGAATCAGATCGGGCAAAGGCTGAGACTTTTTCAAACTATTTTAGCGAAGTCCACTCTACATTTATTGTAACAAATACTTGTCCCAATCACATCAAAATATCAGCCATTGAATCTGTACAGGTGACTAAGGAAACTGTCCTTCCATTGATAACTAACCTCAAACCTGGTAAGATACCGGGCCCTGACGGGGTTACATCCCCGGCTGCTGTCATTACTTGCGGTCATTATTTCAAAACCGCTCGCGACACTCTTCAACATGTACCTTTCACTCGCTCAACTCCCTAGAGATTGGAAAGATGCTATAGTCAGTACTATATTTAAGGATGGTCAGAGACAGTTCGTATCTAACTACCGGCCTATCAGTCTAACTAGCATAGTCGTTAAGTTACCTGATAAGATAATTCGGGTTAGGTTGCTAAGCCACATAGATTTACACAATCTGTTAGCTTCTGAGCAACATGGGTTTCGTAACAAGCGTTCATGCTTGACTAACTTACTTCTTGCGAGAGAGGAATCGATAGCAGCCGTAGATAACGGTCTGCCTGTCGGCGTGATATTCACAGGTTTTAGCAAAGCATTTAACAAGTTTTCACAATTAGGTCTTATGCAGAAGCTCACGAGCTTCGGAATAATAGGTACTGTACAGGAGTGGTTAGGAAACTTCTTATGTGACCGCAGACAGACAGTGAGGGTCAGCGGAACGCTATCCGATTGGAAGCCGGTCAAAAGTGGCGTACCCCAAGGCACCATCTTAGGCCCTCTGCTCTTCCTTCTCTACGTTAGTGAGTTACCGCTGTTGCTTAGGTCGTCGACATTATTGTTTTCGGATGATTTAAAAATATGGAGAGCAATAAAAAGTGTGGCTGATCATCTGGATCCTCAAGCTGGCCTAGACGATTAAGTTAGATGGGCTCGAGGTTGGGGCCTAGAAATCAACTCTAGGAAGAGTGTGCTAATGCACGTCGGTCATGGTAATAGTTACCATTATACTATTGGTGGTAAATCTCTTCCATGCGTTCAAGAGTATAAAGGCTTAGGAGTAATAATAAGTCATGACTCAAAAACAACTACGCATTGCAACGCAGCCGCTGTCGAAGGTTTTCATGCGTTATGGTCACTTCGCCGAGCGTTCAAATCTTTTGACGAGGAAATGTTTCGAATTTTATATCTCACCTACGTAAGACCACTTTTAGAGTACTGTATTCAAGCAGCTAGCCCATATTTGGTAAAAGATACCAAGTCGCTTGAGCGTGTCCAGCCTGTGGGAACGAAATTAGTAAAGGGTCTTTCTAGACTCTCTTACGATGAGCCTTTAAAACGCCTAGACCTTTTCCCCTTGTCGTATCGTAGGATACGAAGTGACCTTATACTGGCGTTTCGTATCTTTAATTATGATTTGGGTGTTAATATTTCTTATATTTTTGCCCCTCCAGCACAATTAATCTCCGAGGTCATAGCAAGAAGGTTCATAAACTACGATCTAATAAACTTAAAGTGGGGTCCCGTTTTTCTCATAAAGTGGTCAATGACTGAAACGCCTTACCCGAACAAGTGGTATCAGCTCCATCAGTGAATATTTTCAAGGAGAAACTGGACCTTCACTGGAAGGCAATCTGTCAGGATTAACACAGGTTCACCAACTTACTATCCTTATTACTGAAGACTGAAGACAGGATTATTCTCTCTGAAGAAATAATCCTAATTGTGTTGTCTGATAAAACACAACATTACGAACAGCTACTAGTATACAGAGGTTTACTCAAACTTTTAGATGTATGAATACACAAATGACCTCTAAGCTGACTAGGATCAGTGCAGTTGATTGGCTAGTGTATAAGCCATTGGAAAAGACTAAATACATGAAACTGTCCTGAAACAACAAGGAATGAGAACAAAGAAACCAGTCAGTCTATACAAGTATGTAAAAAGTTGAATGAATATCAAATTATCGAAGAATTTGAATCATTAGAAGCAACAAAACACGGAGAAAAAGAAGCCAATCGGTAGTCACATGAATATTGGATTTAGGATATTGCGCGTGGTACAAATTAAAGGACAAGGTCACTAAGGCCTATATTAGTGTTTTTACATAAAGGTAGCATTCATTTTAATGAATTTGTGTTCTTCAGATTCTATTTTCAGTTTGTACAAGCGTACGTTGTCATCTAGATAACAGCGCAATACATTCATTTTATGATCTGTTGTACTTTTTTTAGTGTTTATCAATTTTCTTCGGCGACGCATGATTGGTGTTTTATCAGAATTACTTTCTGTGGCTTAACTTTTATAGGAAGTAGGGTTGTTGAAGAGATTACAGTAAGATGACTCGTGGGTGGGCTGCTGTAGTTCAACATAAAATGTCATTCACACTTTAATCACTTGTCTTTATTATTGTCTAATTAGTATTTTTGTAGTACTTTGTTCATCTTCTGACGTAAAAAATTATAGAAAAATCAAAACGTTTACTTTCTGTTTGCTAACAGTTAATAGTGTATGTGAATATCAACATAAGTTTTCCAAAACAAATGTGTTAGTATATATATTTTTTCGCCTTTTCACTGGTTAGCTGATAACGATAATAGTCTACCTGGCATCAAAATAACAACACAGTTATATCGATAAACACCGAAATATGTCGTTACATACAGTTACGAATAATAACGGAGCTACACCTATACATAAGCTGTAGTCCAGTAAATATATGAGTAGTAGTGACACTAAGATAACAAGAATTTCAAGGGTGGTATTAACAGGTGCAACAGTGACTAAGCAAATTCAACAGACTGGAAAGGAAAAGCAAATCAACTGATAAAGTTTGATATATATACGCGTGTTCCTTTACGTATGACTTTTGGTTCGGGTCACGTTGAAGAATTAGAACCTAGGTTTTGAGGAATTTGTTGCATTAAAAGTATTATTCTCTAAGAGCCGTTAATTTCACATAGTCAGGTTGAAAGTCAGATCAAGATGTACAAAGTTCTACAGTGCATCTCTTATTGTTCCCAGGCAATTTTAAGTCGTCATCCTTATCAATATTTACAGAATCAGGTTTGTCTGTCATTTAAGACTGACTCCTTCTTTCCATTCTTTATAATTGCGAAATATCTTGACGCTCCCTACAAGGCATCAAGGGGTTTTTCTTTTGAGTGTTACAATGGGCGTTTAACTGTTGACCCGGACGAATAAAAAATTACACATACTTTGACGTTTTCTTGCATGTTCTTTGATGGGAATTTTTCACGGTGCTACAAGCTTTATTTTGTTCATACCTCTCGCTAGATGTCCGTAAAAAGACATTGCATCCGCATACGCAGCTTCGCATATAGGGACTACATGTGGTTTTAGAAGTGTTTAATCAGTTTCATAAACTAGTTGGGCAGGTGTGTACTTCTCATCTTTCTTGATTATTGGTCGGATACTAAGAGCGATAATAAACAACCATTTGACCCATCTGGCAATATTCAGTTGGGACATCAGTGAACCTTTAAGTTGGTTGTGAATCTTCTCCGCAAGGCCATTCGCTGCTGTATGATTAGCTATTATTGTAATACGATGGACACCGGCAATGCGAAGGAATCAGTCTAATACATTCGATTGAAACTATGACCCCATGTCTACAGGTACTATAATAGGTATACCAAAACTTCAAGCCCATCTATCCCTCAAGGTTTTCGGCCGAAATATCATTTACAGGACAGGCAGCTGGCCATATAGTGGACCAATCAACTACTTTAAATATGTAGGTAAAACCGTGAGATGAAGTTCTACTAAATCGACTTGAAAATGTTTGTTTGCTAGTTTACAGTCAAAGCACTTGCGCACTTTGCTGAGTTGAGATTTTAAGTAATCCCATGTTCATTTCTTTGTTTCTATGTCCACTTTATTTTAAAAGAATCTTGATATTAGCTATACGGCAGCACAGATTCTGAGGTGAGACAAACGTTGAAAACCAGAAATCGCTAGAGAGCTGTCTCGTCCGTATAGAACATCCAGGTTTTCCAACTGTGTATTCAACATAGAGAGCTTCTAGTTACCTTTATTTTCTATCTCGTTTTAGAATGATCTCGGTACTTTTATATCCATTTTAATGTCTCACCTTTTTACCAAATGCTAGTGAATTCGTTTCACATTTTATCATATAAAATATCCATATATATGAAGTGAAGATCTCTTGTTTTTAATAGCACTCGTCGCACAGATTTTAAAGCTTTTATTTACTATCCTACTTTTAGCATGCTTGATGAAGGATTTCAGTCTGCTTCTTTGTCATCCGAAATTTCACAAGGATCATCCTACAATCGATCTGGTGATATAGAAATAGGAAATGACTTAAGTTCCAGTGTTGTCTTTTCAGCCGATTTCCACAAGTAATTATTCTTTCCCATAAATTTCACCCTCTCTTTTGCTGTGCTTTTAATACGTTTTTAAAGACAATTTTTGCAGGAGCGTTTGCATTATATTTCTGAGCAAATACATAAGGTAGAGTTACGTGGAGATGGAATTATGCGTCCCAGTCAATAAAAAGAGCTGACACAAAATAGGTGATGTGTGTACTTCAGCTTGCGTTAACTTGTTTTAACGGACCAGAAATTATTAAAGTAAATTCTTGGTAGTTTTGTCTGTTGTATACGAAGTTTCTGAAGGTGGAGTATAACTCCTGTTGACCTACTTAATTTCAGAACAAGTACTTATGCTCAGACTCGCAAGTAAAACAAATAGGAAACTGTACAGTTGTTGGATTAACGAGGGTTTTCATATCTTGACCACTGATAAGAAATACATGTTTTAGCAACACAGTACACTCGGAATGTAATAACTACTCGTGAAATTAAATGGGGGGATTGATATAAGCCAATGTGATTTGACATTAATTGAAACACATATGGTCTTCACATCTGTAGTTGTAACTTTACTGGTTATGTTGTATTTCTTCATTTACAATTATCCTTGTCCTTTTATTCGTGTTCATTTTTGTGTTCGATTACATTACCTTTTGGCTACTTGAAATGATGAAGATTCACAGCTCAAGTGGTTGTTTTTAGTGTGCCCTGAGTTAGAGTTTTCTAAGCTAGATGTTTCAGTCGTTCCGTCTTTCCAGACAATATCATCAGTGCTTACTTCATGTAGAAGTGAGCTTCTTGGTTATTCCATGAGTCTTAAATCGTTTTTCCCCTGTGGCTTTGATTGTGATTGTTCTCTCTTGTTATTTTCATTGCTCTCAGTTGTCCTTGCACTCAAGCCGATTATTTATTTCCATTGATTTTTGACCAGGCTGTTGATTATATGTCGTTTCACTTTGACAGCTTGATCTATATATAAGGCCAAGCCAGTCATTTATTTTCATCCTACTTCACTTCACTGCAAGCTTGCAATATATACGTTTGGTCCTTTGAGATTGTTCATATAACATATATTTTTTCGAACCTGATATTGTTTTTGATCTTTGATTAAGCCTAAGTGAATATATAGAGTTAAGCGGGACCAATCAAATTGGGATCAAAATAAATTACAAAAACTGGTGTGGACTAATGTAGTAGTTAAACTCTACCTATACCCTTTACAACAGGTGTCATACTGGTATGTGGTGTGTTGGTTACTATAGTAACTAAAATTCAGTAAGTACAGGAATATTTAATAATAATATATAATAATCACTGTATCTCATAGATACGGGTGTCAGGGCACCCCAATCACGTATCTCACTTTAGTTTGGATAGGTGGGTATTGTCATTATACTTTCTTTAATAAGTATTCTTCTTAGGTCAGGCTATATACTAATACGTATAGGGATAAGATTACATGTGGATACGCTCTTGAAAAATGTAACTTACTAAGCACATGTCTAAGCAATCCAGTCTAGAAAACAATTTTCTGACACTAATGCTACCCAACTGTTTCAACTTAAGTATGCCGAGTGGATTTCTAACCTGCAGCTTAGTGGTTAAAATTTCAGTTTTTTACCTACTCACCCACCTCTTTACAATTTCACACCGGGATAAAGTTCCATTTTATGTTAATTGCCTGAATTTTAGAATTGAACTGATTCGTTCAACACTTACTCACCATTTTTATTATTTGTGCTTGAAGCGGAAATAATCGAGGAACTATTAACCTGTACGATAATACGGATTTGTTTTGAAAGCAAGCTGTATTATATTCTCTTTGTTTAAATACAATATCACATTTGCTAGATAGTTGTTTTTATCTTATTGATTGCTTTACAGTTGTTTAACTTAACTGGTATTCACTTTTCTATATTCCAATAGGATTATTTCTACTATATACAGGGGATATACATAGGTTATTACTATTCGATCATAGGTGTCTTTGAAGCATTTCTCATAAATTTTAAGACCATTGTGTTAGCAATCTTAAGGTTAGATTAGGTAAATCTGAATAATCGTTTGGTGAAATAGTGAATCTTTACCGAATAAGATAGTCATGACATGTATTACGTATGCTCATCGTCCGACTATCACAATGCGCGTTGATGAATGGTGCTACGAGTAGGTTGGAAGCGACTGAATCAAGACATGATATCAGTCCATAAAGATATTAAATGTTGAACTGAGCTGTATTAATAGGTGCAGGCTACCTGATTTGGGTCCGCTTGATTATTGTGACCAATGGTTAGGAACTTCAAATGAAATGACTCAAAATCGATCGCAATAACGCATATGCATTCACCCTGTCTTCCTTTAGATCATAGGTTTCTAAACCCCTCATATTATTTTTCATGATTATTTCACCAATTCCCATTTACTTCTCGAATTGTATCTTGAATGTCTGGTCTTCTCTACTATCCTTAATACTGTTACTACCTCTACTACTCTGGGATTCACTCTTTGCTATAGGGTGCCGCTACTTAAACCAACGTACACATGCCCCAGATTCTATATCGCGTTTCACTGGCTAACTGATTGACTAATCGTTTCTACCATGTAGAAACAATGTATACAAATCTCTATTTCTCTAGAATCCGGTGCACATATAGATGGCGTTTCTAAATTTCTCATCTTTTTCAGCGTAATATGATCAAACTATATAATTATGACGCCTCATGATGATATAATTGTGACCTATATTTTGGGACAAATATTAATAATATGATAAGAAGTGGTGAGGGCAGTTATCTCTGTGCTTAAAGCAATCAAATTTAAGCTACTAACCTACAAGTGTAAACTTCGCCCAACCTGTTTGGATTAGATACAACAGGGTAATATCACCAACCGTTACACTTTAAAGTTAGTTCAAAGTCATTAACATGAATTTTATACCTGGTAATGAGTTAATGAAGATGATAATAATAACAACCGTTTTTCATGTTGTTTATTTATTGTGTTTTTCTTAAAATTGAACTTTATTTCAATAGTAAATAGATTCTTTGTAATTTAATATTTCATTTATAGATTTGATGATTTAAAAAACTTATTAGATAACAATAAAGATGCAGTGAAATTAGGTGCAATGAAACGGATTATTGAAGTAAGTCATATTACATAATAGTAATTTTTAAAAATAAAACATCTTTTTTTTTCAGATGGTTGCCAGAGGTAAAGATTGTTCTGATCTATTCTTAGCTGTAGTGAAGAATGTGGTCTCAAAAAATGCTGAGGTAAAAATACAATTTTATGCACTATGCTCTTTATATTCTGTGTATTGATATATATATATATATATATATATATATATATATATATATATATGTGCTGTTAGCCCATTTAACAATATGTCCGTTGTACCATGTTTCTAGAAATTCTCTGTCATTTTTTGAGCTAATTATTTCAGAATTTTGATGTTTTCTCAATGAAATTCATGCCCGAAGTTGTCCATATTTTACTGGTAATACAATCACATTTAGTACTGGAGTCTTTTTACCAAGATTATGGAACGATATCTCATGGGTTAAGAGATTCTTAAAGTACGGCAACCGTGGTCCATCTACTTCGGTTCGTTCAACTGAGTAGTATCACAAGTTCTCGCACTTGAACTGTGACTCGTCGTAGACAAACACACTAATCCATATACCTGGTAAAATAAGTTAATTAATGAAAAATAATAATTTATCAAGATATCTTAAAATGGTGTGTGCCACTTATACGGACAGATATAAGTAGTATGTATCAGGAATCGGAAGTAGGATTCTTAGTGACAGAAAAAGAAAATGAGGAGAAGAGAAAGAAAAACAAAGAGCGATCAGAATAATAACAGATGGAAAGAACGATGGAGTTTGTGATGGATAATTTCAAGATGTGCAACTATTGTATTCAATGTCTTGTTTTCATATTTTACAAATGCAGTTTGTAGTTTTACATAATATGATTCATTTTACCCTACTCAAATGTTCGTTCTTTACATGGTGATATTCATTGGTTATCTCATTCTTTCTTTTTATTTCAATAAAAATATACTTAGATTCGAAAACTTGTCTATGCTTTTTTAACTCATTATGCTGAACAAGAACAAGATATTGCTCTGTTGTCTATATCAACATTTCAACGAGCATTAAAGGTAAGTGTGTAATATAGTAAATTGTTTATGATAATTGATGAAGAGTAAGATTACATGTGCATTATATAAATCCTCTATTACATCATCATGTCTATTCTTTACTTATATGTCCTCATGGAATTAATACTCAGAATTTCATATGATTGTATAGCTTGATAATAAATTCATTGAAAAGCGATCCCTTTGCTGAACCTCGTGTTTTTCATGTTAAAATGGGAGTGATATGTCGACAAGTAAAACAATACCAAGTGAATTAAACTTCACCCCATTGCACAAGCAGGCGGCTATCAGGACTCAGTAGCTAAGTAGATAACGCAATGGCGTTTGAAGCGGACGGCACTGGGTTCCAGTCCCAGAGTGAACAAGAACTCTGAGATACAGGTACATCCAGCTGACGAGTCCCAAACGGGACGAAACGCGCGTCCTGGATTCCACTGCTAACCACTATCCATCTTTGCTTACATGTCGACATTAGTTCGTATTAAAACAAATTCAGTTAACAACTATTCTAAGGTTTTATTCTCCACTGTATTCTGATAATTTCTCGCATGTTTTCTCTTACGTTTGGATATTTATTCGGCATAAACTATGTTATAATTTTTTAAGTGTAATCTAATAATCAGCGAATTAAAGAAAAAGTTTTATATAAAGAATGATATTTCCTCATAAAATCTATATTCTTCACAGGCTCCTGTTAAACTTGATATCTAAATAGTCAGGTTAGAGGGAAAGTGTAGTGTCGATAAAAGGTTCTTCAATCTCATATGAATATATGATAAAAGCCAGTTCCGAATTGATTGGTTTTCAAAATATATTTCAGTTAGGATTTCAATAAACTTACTTATTACTGATTTGCAAAAAGTCATAACGTTCTTTGTTGTCATTCTATTAAATGGCATATAGGGATTTATTTATTTATACATAGTTTTTTTAACATGTGAAGAATATAACGACAGTTAATGACTCGCTTCGACATAGAGTTTCATAGAGTTCCATTGAAAACGTGTTTCCTGTAAGTCTAGAAAATTAGACGTATTGATAAATGTCGATTGTTGATTGTCAATTTACATCCTATATTGACTCAAGTTGAAAATAACCGTTCTTTAGATTCCGACATAATGAGTGATTAAGTTTTAAGATCATGTTTCGTATCAAGTCGAGGCAACCACAGTGCGGATTAAGATAGGGAGTTGAATAATGTTCTTTTTTAATGTTTAATGGTTTTAACTAGCCAAAGTGATAAAACAATGTTTACCTAACTTGAATATTTGTGATTAAAATATTCAGATCAAAGAAGTCCAACACAATTGCAAGTATTATTGTTATCTTCAGGATTATGAAAAAAAGTGTTTTTCGTCTGTTTGCTTAAATTTGAAAATAACTTCGTTTCATTTTATAGATCAAATAATTTAATTCAACTAGTTGAAAGATATTATTGATTAGTGGGTGTATCGGAGTTGTGGTTTACTGGTTAAAGCAGTTGGGTTTCAACCAATTGACCTAAGGCTCGAACTTCGTCTCACCTACATAGGTTTAAAAAGTTGAATAGTATCATTAGCCCTCTTTCACACACATCATAGTGTGAGTGAATGTTGAGTATATAAACTTGTATTTAGTTAATGTGTTGTTAAAAAATCTGTTATTCTGTACAGTTACTTAAAATTTGTTTGTTTATTAGACTCAAAATTTCGCATGTTTATAGATTGATTAACGTACTGTTAAAATTGTTAAATTCTGACCAAGTTTATCATTATTTGAAAGGGCATACACGCAAACGATCAAATAATAGAGTTATCTGTTTACTAGCAATTGTCTTCGAGATAGATTTTTTCTTGAAGTGTCAGCGTAAAGTTATAACCTGTGGAGTCAATAATGTTAGGAATTTGTCGGTCAGTCACCATTCGTAGTAAATGATGTTTGCAGTTAAAAGTGTAGGCCATTAAATTCTTGTTTAGTTCACTGGGTGTTATTATGCTCACCGTGATGACTGAAAGTTATGGATGCTTACTGTTAAAGTTTGAGAAATTGTGAGACGTCAAAACAACTAACTAGTACCCTGTAGTTTTCAGTTTTTTCATCAGCTCATATCATTCATCAGTAGCATCAAACGGAATAACAATCATTTGAAAAAAATTAACTCAACGGGATGATACATGCAAAGAAATGTTAGTGAACTAATAGATAGAGTAACCAACATTAGAAAATGTCCATTGAGACCAAGGTTAAATACAGCATAGCTATTGGTGTTTCACTTGTCTTATCCTCTTACTGGTTTTCTATACTCTACTAAATCAAATCGGCGAGGACGCCAGGTGGCACATCGGCGATGTGCCACCTGGCGTCCTCCCTCTGCATCCCAAGCCTGGACTCAGATTGATCACATCGCGATCAGCTACCGCTGGCGTGGTTGTGTAAAAGACTGCCGCTCCTTTTGGAGTACCTATCTGGACTCTGACCATGCCTTGGTCTGCGCCAATCTTGCCTTACTTTTCAGTGGCCAACGAAGTGACCGCCACCAACGGGTTGATGTTAGCAAGCTGGCTGCAACTTCTGTTGCAAATAAGTATCGAACCGAGCTAGCCTCTAGGCTAGCTACCACTCCACCGAAAAGTATAGATGAGCATTGGTTGCAATTGCATGACGCCATGAAAATGGCGGGAACAGTCAGTTGTGGGTTTGCGAAACGTCCCGCTTTTAAGCACTGGGTTTCTTCTGGTTCCTTACAACTCATTGAAGCCCGTCGGTCTACTCCGGGTGACCGTGAGTTTGACCATAAACGAAGGATGTTATGTAAGGAAATCGGGCAAAGCTTGCGTAAGGACCGAGAAGCCTGGTGGTCGAAGCGTGCTAATGAGCTGGAAGCAGCACCTGCATCTGGTAATTACCGGAAGCTCTTCCAGCTCATCCGAGCCACTGGCAGCAAGAAGTCTGGTGTGAGTGAAACAATCTGCGAGGATGATGGGATGCCAATCACTAACATCCATCGACGTCTTGGACGGTGGGCAGAATTTTTCGAAGGGCAGTTCAACTGGCCTGCTGCTCCGGCAACATCAGTCAGACTGTCCTGCCCTCCATGGCCGGTGACAACTGATCCACCAAACGAGGAGGAAGTCCGCAAGGAACTCCAACTCTTGAAGCGTTACAAATCACCTGGCCCAGATGACTTACCTCCGGCTCTTTTTAAAGATGGTGGTGACTTTTTGACTAAGGAATTGACGACGTTGTTTACAAAGGTTTGGGAACTAGAGAGTGTGCCAACGTCATGGAATGAGTCGATAGTTGTCCCCATCTTTAAAAAGGGTTCACGTCGTTCCTGTAACAACTATCGGGGGATAAGTCTACTTCCGATTGCGTCCAAGCTATTGGCTTCCGTCATTCTTCGTAGGTTGTTCAAAACCCGAGAAAGATTGACTCGCGAGGAGCAGGCTGGTTTTCGTTCTGGTCGAGGATGTATTGATCATATCTTCACCCTCCGCCAAATGTTAGAACACCGCCATACTTATCAAAGGCCAACAATCGTAGTGTTTCTTGACATCAGGGCTGCCTTCGATTCGTTGGACAGAACTGTTCTCTGGGATTGTCTATTGAAGAAGGGTGTGCCTGAGAAGTTTATTAACATCCTAAAAGCCCTATATAAAAACACCTCAGGCAGAGTGAGGGCATACAACCACCTTTCTCCATTGTTCCATTCGAGTAGTGGGGTTAGGCAGGGTTGCCCAATCTCACCATTCCTCTTCAACTTTGCCATCGATGACATTCTGGAAACAGCTCTGATGAATGTAAGTAATGGTGGTGTGGATCTGTTGCCTGGAGAAAGACTTCTCGACCTTGAGTATGCGGACGATATTGTCTTACTGTGTGATAATGCCCAAGGCATGCAATCCGCACTTAATCAGTTGGCAATCAGTGTCCGTAGGTATGGTATGTGCTTTGCACCTTCGAAGTGCAAAGTACTTCTACAAGACTGGCAGGATTCCAATCCTGTACTCACCCTGGATGGTGAGCAGATAGACGTAGTCGAGAAGTTTGTGTATCTGGGTAGCTGTATAAGTGCTGGTGGGGGTGTGAGTGATGAGATCAATGCACGAATAGTGAAAGCCAGAGCGGCTTATGCCAATCTGGGCCATCTATGGCGCCTTCGTGATGTTAGTCTGGCCGTAAAAGGTCGGATCTACAACGCGTCGGTGAGAGCAGTTTTGCTCTATGCTTGTGAAACCGACTTCGGTGGCTTGGACATGTTCTCCGAATGTCGTCCCAGAGAATTCCACGTCGTGCATTATTTGCCGACTCTGGGACTGGTTGGAAGAAGCGGAGAGGTGGTCAGTGCATGACATGGTGTCGTGGCATGAAAGAAAGCTGCAAAGGACTGTCTTGTGTTGGTTCTTCACGACTCCCTGGTTGGGGTCTGAGAGATGGTGCTACACAGTGGCTAGAGACGTTATCAGATATGGCTCAGAATAGAAGCCAGTGGCGATCCTGCTGTAACCTTTTACTTTCTTCATAAAAAGTGGTTCTGTCTCCCTTACCTGAAAGATTTCTTCCGATTGTAGCTTTGCGTTCCCTGATTACTAGCACATTACCTTACACCAAGCTCTTCGTTATTGTTCTCTCTTTTTTTTTGTTGCGCTCCTTAGCTTTTTTTCTTTCTTTGTATTCCTCTCGAATTTTCATTGTTTTGTGTGGCGCATATATATTGGCGCTCCCCTGTACCAATATTCATGTGTCCAAATAAATAAATAAATATAAACTAAATCAAATAAAAAATGTTCCAGTGTTTTGGCAGTTCCAGTCAGTAGATAATAAATGGGTTGATAAGCATTATTTTCTTCACTGATCAGTCATCTTAGGAATTTTTATCTTCAGTCTCAACTTAATGTTATTTACATCATCTCATTTAATAAAACTCCACTAAATTGATACTCATTTAAGTATTCATGAACTACTGAGATTTTATTCGAAGAATAAATTTACTATCAACATTCATACTTTTCAAATTGTTAAATTTTTCAACGTTCTTTTTGTTGTTGTTGAAATCCCAGGATCCTAACCAATTAGTTCGAGCTTCATCATTACGTGTTTTATCCTCGATTCGTATTCCACTTATATTGCCTATTGTCACTTTAGCGATTCAAGATGCTTCGAAAGATCTTTCTCCGTATGTGCGTAAAACTGCAGCTCATGCCATTTTAAAAGTTTATAGGTTAGTGATCCAATAAAGTGATGTCATGTTTTAAAATTTTGTGTAACACTTTTATTTTTTACAGTATCTTACAAAGTACAAATTATGTTAGACATCTTATTTTAAATCATCACGCTGTTGATTTCTATTTCTTGTGTCAGTGTTGTTTCTTTGTGTGGTAGACTTCAATTACTGATTAATTGGCAATTATTGTGTACACAATACATTCAGTTGATAATCAATATTGAGAAATATTTATTTTAATGGTTGAGACCATGAGTCAATCAGTCAGTAACAACGTAGAACTTCGTACTTACGTACATCAGTTCGAGTTGCCATACCATATTAACACACAGATACAATTGTCAATTCAAGTCCCGTAGTGGTACAGGTAGTAAGAGTATAAGTAGTAATCGGAAAGAATAAGGTTTGAAGATGTTATTCAAGGAGTATAATACAATGAAACAAATTTGGAAAGAGGAAAAACGGGACATGAAGAATTTAGAAGATTAGAATTTGGAAGAACACAAAGAGTGGATGCACCTGCATCATTGCAAACAATTTTGAGCCATGTCATTCAAGGTCTCTAACCATCGGTTGTTATCATCTCGCGGTCCCTAACCAGGTAGTCTACACCTACCAACATGGCTCAGTCGACTTGTCAGTGACTTCATGGATTTGTGTCATGTTTTGGACTGGTCGCCCCTAGCTTTCTTCCAGCCTACTCCTGCACCATCGAACATCGCACGTCGGGGCAGTCGGTGGTTGGGCATACGTAACACGTGTCCCAGCCATCTCAACTGATGAAGTATCACTACTTCATCAATTGATTTGCCATCCTTACCTAGCACCCGTTTCCTAACAACTGCATTACTTACTCGATGGTCCATTAGTCAGTTGAAGCTAGACCACTATGGAAAACCTGAAAGCACTGGACGGCCGTTTCTTCCTATTGTGGGACTCCTCAACAGTGTGCATCCACGATCCCGCCTCGTGAGATTTTTTTTTTGACTGATTGTCTGTGAAGTAATTATTTAACATTATTAAAAGCCAGTGGCTATTGTTCTTTTCAATGATATTTCTCTAAAGGTATGTGAGGCTTACGTATATTTAGAAAGTTGTATTTGTAGAGATTTGTGGGGTAGATTTTAGACTATACCTGCTTCAGTGCGAAGTTTCTGAAACGATAATAGAGGAAGGAATATATTCATATACGCAAGACATGGGTTGGAAGTATAGTGGTTAACTACCGGAATGGTAGTTTCATTGAGTCTTATGTTTGTTTGTCTGTGGTGGTTTATTAGTTCAGGGTTAATTATATTTGTCTGGTTCACATTTAGCGGATTCATAGCTAATTTGTAGTGTGCGAAATATCAAGTATCCATCCAAAGTGGAAATTTTTTTACCATTTTCTTCTTGCAGACATCGCATTTAATAAACATGATGTACCATAACCATGTAATCTGGATCTTCTAATATACCTCATACGGACAGTCATTGATTTTATTGTCTGATTTTGCTTCCCCTATTTTTGTTCCAACCTACTTGTACACCGCGAAGCATCGCTCACCATGAAATAACAACTAATTAGGCAGCTTTTTTCTTTAAGGAACCTGCATACCTTCAACATACTTTTTGCGTAACATAGAGGTGATTACATTGGATCCTACTATAATCAAGGTTCCTTCTTTCAATATGGAAATATTATTACCTATCAATTTGTAACTATTATTGCACTTGCAATTAATTAGCCAATGAATTATCAATCCAGAAAGTTCATTAAATTTTCATTTATCATTCGTTAATTATTCTGTTTACTAGTTTGGATCCAACTGAGAAGGACACATTGATTGAAATAATTGATCGTCTATTAAGCGATAAAACTACTGTGGTCGTTGGTAGTGCTGTACGTGCATTTGAAGAAGTGTGTCCTGAACGTTTGGATTTGATACACAAGTAAATTAATTTGGGATTTTTTATTCTTTTTTTTACATTTCAATCGTCAGATTTGGAAGTTAGAATTCTTCCGTTTACACCACGAACTAACTTTATCTAAACAACTATTTAAAACCAGGAAGCAATTGCCAGCTGTTTTGTTCTAGTATGAAACTCCTCAACAGGACTGATCCACTATAAAACCGTGGGTGAAACCTACGACCTTGAGGATTTCGAGGCGAGGGCTTGATTATTAGACCCTTTAGTCACTGTCCAACGGTTTACATTTATGTCTTCAATCAATCTTTGATATTTGATCTAGTTGCCAAATCTCAAATAAAATTTTTCTCCTTGTCGAGCTCTGGTTTATCATAATGATGATGACACTTTAAAGATAAGTAGGGTGGTGACCGATATAATTGAATACTTATTTCCCTAGATGACAGACCAATACTGAAAGTCTTTTGAGTCTGAATGCAGGAAAACATATTGCATTGATATGTATTGACTATTTTTTAGTAGAAATGGAAGTCATTTAAAAACCACCAAAACTAGTATCATTTTTAAGAAATCTGTCATCTTTTTTGTCGCAAATTAACTTTTATTGGTCTAATTCATGAACTGACTTTGGCTAGACAACCACTGTATACCAGAAAACATTGGACAAATGTTTTTTTCGTAGTGTTGGTATCCTCAGCAGTGCTCACTAATGACCCTTTTGGGGATCGAACCCAAGACCTTCAGGTTTCGCTGTGAAAACTTGATCTTTGGAGCCACTCTATCAGCATTCGATGGTCTATGTTTGTTTTACTCCAATCGATTTGTGATATCATACGAATACTTTCTAATTCCATTGATGGTTAACTGAACTACATCCGAAATAGTTGAGCACCACTGGTCATGATTTCTCATCAGAAATCTGGAGTTACCTCTGGAAATTAGTCACCACGAAGCCCCGTACTAAAACGAAACAGCTATCCAGTGCCTTTTAGTTTTTGATGATTGTTTAACCAATGTAGTTTCCTGATGTAAACTATGAAGTTCAACAACCTTCACAAACCCTGTACACTAGTATTAATGACTCATAGTAATCCTTATTTTTTGCTCTATATTTTAATAATTTCTATAATATTTATGAGGTAAACGCTCGTTTCATTTGTAAGCTTGTTTAAGTATGAAAGTGTTTCTTCTATATAAGAAGAAAGAAGGATAAATACACTTTCATCTTTCTACATTCAGATAACTTTGTATGCTCGAGTGGATTGACTGATTGCGTAATTGTATTGATGTAAACATGAAGTTGAGAAGTGCTTCGGGTAAACTTAACTGAGAAAGCTTTTTAAATCGTTATTTTGAAACTTCTAATTTGCACGAGAATTCAAATTTCTCTCTATGTGAGTTGATTTCTTAGCATCTGGTTCTCAACATTGCACTTACCGTCAGTATCCGCTATATATATATGGTGCTAATATTCGTATTCCTGGATATCTCAGAGATTTGGGATCAAAGAATTAAACGTAGGGTATAGTGAATCTACGTTTCTAACTTTTGTGTTTATCTATCCGCATTGTCGAGTTATATAGCACTCCTGCCATGTTTTAAACATAACAAAAATTTATCATCTATACTATCCTCCCATCTATTGAATATATGAAAAAAATTCACACGTAGTGAGGGTACTTTATATAAAATAATATGACTTGTCTTTTACTTAGGAACTATCGTAAACTGTGTAATCTAGTAATGGATGTGGACGAATGGGGCCAAGTCGTTATATTGTCAATGCTTACACGTTATGCTAGGACACAGTTTCCAAATCCTGAAAAATCATTGATCACAGTAAGTTATGTTATATATGTGACTTTTCGGTTAACTATCCATCTTTTTACAACTTTCTAGTTCATTTATTTCAGGGCTTTATTTGAATAATCTCTGACATTAGTTTCTAATTGAAATCATTTGCAATTAAACGAGTTGGGATCTAAGATTGTGGATACTCACGAAGTATCGACAAAGATGCTTCTTTTTTTTTACAAAGTATTAAGAAAGATATTGATGTGTATTTTTGTAGAAACGCTCAATCACAAATGTGTGTTAGTAGTATAGAAATGAAAGCATTTGTTTTTAAGAAAATAATATATTGGAAAGCTCATACATCTAGTAAAGTTCTATATGCCTACAAAAACCCAACCTTTTCGAGCTATGCTTGTTTAAAGACTCTTTATATTCGTTAGGTGAATAGTACCTTTTGTTCTGATCCATTATTTCTGTCCACCTTTAAATCATTTTCTTTTTAAATTCTCAGATAGAAAACGATAACTTTTCAACTTCTGCAAATCTTTCATCCAATCAACCAGATAACGGTCAATCCAAGTCGATTCCGATTTCAGGAAATGGCAATAATCATAATTGTACATCATCAAAATCGGATACAATTATTACTACACCTGAAAAATCAACCCAATATTCCATGTCTGATGCTTTACCCGTACTTGATGCTGATCGAAATGCGCTTTTAAATGCTTCACGATATTTATTGCACAGTCATAATTCTGCTGTACGTAACGTTTTTGCATTATTTTTCTCAATTACAGAAAGTTTTAAGTACTTTTTCATTTGTGTTAGAATCACGAAGTGATTTAAGTTAGAAAACTATTGAGAACCCGAAATCACTGAGTGTCCGTCTCGTCCTAGGATATGAATCTCTACCACTGCGCATCCACAACTCTGCAACCGGAAATCGAACCTAGGACCATCAATTTCTCACGCAAGCGCTTAACCACTAATCCGGGATCTAATAGTGTCCAATTCTAACTTCGGTCAGTTGACGATATTTCGCTATCATCTGCTGTTGTCTTCGGTAAGTACCTTCCTCACATTCGACACAGTTGGATTCCACTAGTCACAGTCTCATTAGGATTTCAGAAATTTCCTCTCGAAGCTAGTCACTAGTGAGCACATGATAAATATCATTTATATTGTCTTTTCCCAGAGTTGTATCAAGTATGTTATAATTTAAGAAATCTTCATGATAATTCATATTATTTTCTTACAAATTCCTGCATGACTATTCAACCGTTGAGTCTACATAATCTTTTCGACTCTGACATGACTCTTGTTATGGAGTGGGATTTTATGAACGAATTTTTAATTGCTTCAATGAATTAATAAAATGCCGAATGGTAGCTGCTCACGAGATTAAACAATTGACGTTAACCCCTTCTAATTGAGTTTATATCAACAGAAAGGATAGCTACTCAGTGGAATAGACTTCTTTCTGATAAAATAACACGCTTGTGTACAAACTATTAATAAGTAGATATGATGAGCAGTCATAGGAGATTGAAGAAAGTCAGTCTTATTGGTCAGTTAAGACTTTACTAATCTTATCAACTCGATAGTTTGTTACCAACTGAAGTGACTGGCACACGTCTTACATATCACAAACCACTGTCTATTCCTGTATACAATACTGAATTGGATAGGATAAAGTTGAAAGAAGCTAGGGGTGGCTAGGCCAAGACGTGACACCATTCCACCAAGTTTTCGATTGTTGGTCAGATATTTTCAAATGCGCCAAGGACATTCAGTTCTCAGGAGATTTCAGGTATGTCTTGCTGATAAGTGAATCCTATCACGTAACCTAGGTCCATGGTTCCCTGCTGACCATCTTTAAACAACTATCATTCCAACATAGTACGCGCGATCTCACTTAGACTAGTGTCCAAACTCGTCAGGACTAAACAAAAATCATGTTGTTCACTACTCAAAGGCCAGTCAGTATAAATTATGTTATGCTCTAACTGAAAAACTTTTGATAAACTTCAATCTACTTGGTATATAGACTTATTCGATTCTTGTATCATTATTGTCTCACCTATGAGTGAGTATAACAACAAAGATGATAGTTTTGTTTCCTTTCTGTTTTATCTCTTCCATTTTAGGTTGTTATGGCATCTAGTCAATTGTTATTTTATTTAAATGCTAAAGATGATTATCCAAATGTAGTTCGTGCTCTAATTCGAACACTACATCGTAATCGGTAAAAAATCTTAATATTATCTTTCTTTATCGACTTAATTCGTCCTTGTAAAATGCCATGGTTTGTTTTTAATGATAATCGTGTGTCTCACTATTGTGACTAGTTTTGAAAAAGAGTTACAGAGGTTTCTAGTTAGAATATGCTATTTCGAGGTGGAGTGCTACCAATTCAAAAATACAACAAACATTACTGAATACCACTGGATGTTCTTCACGCTGTTTTGTAATTTGGTAAAAATAGCAAACATAGACCATTTCGAACCTACCCAGTGGTATTAGGAGGTAAAAGTATAATATACTGACGACCCTGGAAGATTGGTCAGCCAGTCATAAAACGCCGCCTAGTTATAAAATAATTATCAATACAAAGCAATTAAATTATAATACTATACTCTGATACCCCTATTAAGCCTGTTACCTCTCGTGGAGCATAGGCCTCCGACCAGGATTGTCCAACCAACTCTGTCCTAGGTTTTCCTTTTCAATTGTTGCCAAGTGCCGTTCATTCTTTCGATATCTGCTCCAGCTTCCTAACTGAATTTGTTCTTTCCTCTTGATGTCTGGGCGTTATAACACCTCTTATCTTTTTACCTTGAGAATTCAAATTTAGGGCTTGGTTTGTGATGTAGCTTGATGATTTCTGTAATATGTGTCCTATCCACATCCAACGTCTTGTCCTAATTTCCTCGTCAGCTGGGATCTGTTTTGTTTCGTGCCACAATAGGTTGTTGCTGATGTTATCTGACCAACGAATGTGGAGTATCTTGCATAAACAACTGTTTCACAGATTGAAATCATGAGTCAATTGAAGCTAGACCACCATGGAAAACCTGAAAGCACTGGACGGCCGTTTCGTCCCAGCATGGGACTCCCCAGCAGCGCACATCCGCGATCCCGCACCCCGCGAGATCCGAATCCAGAACCTATCAGCCTCACGCCAAGCGCCTAACTAACTAGACCACTGAGCCGGCATCCAATGGCGTTAATGTCCAACTTCAACCAATCCATGAAGTTGCGCCACCGTATACCATTGTTTTCAGTGACCTGATGTCTCACGACAGACCTGGTTGAACTCCACTGGTAACGGCTTCTCACTAGAACTCCAGGAGTATCTCTTGAAGTCAGTCACTAATGAGCAGATGATTATTATCAGAAGGGGTTTGTGGAGATTTTAGAAATTTCACAAATTGAAATCATGAGTCAATTGAAGTTAGACCACCATGGAAAACCTTGAAGCACTGGACTCATGTTTTCAATCTGTGAAATTTCTTAAATGTCCACAAACCTTTTCTGATAAACAACTGTTTATAAATATCTATACTTTTTTGATGATAGTTTCAGTAGTTCATCATGCTTGATTCTATTCATGATTACTTCTTTCTTTCTTTTTAATCAGATAATATCAGTTTTGTGATATCTTCTTCTCTATGTATATTTTGTTTTTACTATCTAGCGAAGTTCAATATATTGTTTTAAGTAATATAGCAAGTTTAATAACAATTGAACATCGTAATTTATTTGAACCATATCTACGATCATTCTTCATTTTTTCAACTGATTCACTTCAAGTGAAATTGTTAAAATTAGAAATTCTTAGTAGTTTAATCACAGAAACATCAAGTTCGGTTATTCTACGTGAATTTCAAGTAGGTTGTTTCGTTTTTTTTTCTTTTCTATTTAAAATAGCTATTTATTGGATATAGAATAACTTCCGACACTTAGTCTTTGCAGTTACAAATGTATACATATGTAAATACAATATCTTGTGTAAGAGATTTATTTAAGATTTAATCTAAATCATTAATGTTATCCACATTTTTATATAAATCATATGTATATATTAGGATGTTAAAGGTAATCGATAGGAAACCCTGGATCTAGTTTTTGTGTTATTCGCCACTCCTCTGCAAGATGTAGCTGTAATTTTGAGGAGACTGATGTTTTACATTGGATCTGAATCAACACTACCCATCTTCACAGACCAAAATGTTATCAATGAGTTACTTGAAGGAAGCAGATAACTTACAAACGATTGATTACCAAATAGTGGTCAGTGTTATATTTGTATAATCCTGACAAGCGTTGATCGGATTCAATAGATTAGCTTGTTACTAGTATAGGGGTTGTGGAGATTATTAAGTTTCTGATTGAGATCATGAACCGATTAATGTTAGACCATCACAATTGAAAACCTGGAAGCACTGGACGGCCGTTTCGTCCTATTGTGGGACTCCTCAGCAGTGCGCACTGCTGAGGAGTCCCACAATAGGACGAAACGGCCGTCCAGTGCTTCCAGGTTTTCAATTGTGATGGTCTAACATTAATCGGTTCATGATCTCAATCAAAAAAAGATTAGCTTGTGTTTGACCACTAGTCTAAGTGGCACGATGTCATATCTATTATGTTAGGACATTAGACATTTGGATGTATTGATATGTCAAATGCGATCACCTGAAGAAAACATGAAATAGGCGAAGTGTAATCATATTTGAGTCGTTGTTAGTTGGAATAAATCAAAATCACGATTTATTACTTATGCGTTGCGGAGTTATATTGTATGTGTGTAGTCATGCAAGAAGGAGAGCTCAACATAGAGTTGGTTGGAGATTCCTGGTCGGGGGCGTATGTTCCACGAAAGCTAACAGGCGTAAGTGATAATCACATGAGTGTTACAGAATATTACAAAACAATCGTTAGATCTTCCTGATCTTACTGTTTGGTAGTTCGGGGAATGATTAATTGTATTGCTTGGTCTATCGATCTTTTATCATAAGCATTAGACTGCATTAACAGACTCATATTTAGTTGGTAGAAATATGAAAAACTGACTTCTTTAAACCCAAAGTAAGTTGATTGGTACTAATTCAGTGGTTGAAAATTTACTACTCTAAATATCAAGCGTCTTGGGATTTGTCTCAGGACTTCATTGATTTCATATTTTTCTGACTTGATATCTATATATCATCTTGACGCATTGTGTGATACTATTTTCATTAGGAAAGCGCAAAACGCATAACTCATTAATTTGGTTGCATTCGTTAGTTGAAAATGTTAATCCATTGATTTTGTAAATTGTATACTTACACTAAATTGTTGAATTATTAATATTAACTACTGTCAGTTCAATATATTCAGATTCACCTACTGAGTGAATATTTTAAAGGGAGTTAGACTTGTTTACTATTGAATCTTAACTCAGTGGTTTTAGACGTTAAGTGTTCGCGTGCGAGTTCGAAGGTCCTGATTTCTATCCCCAGTAGGAGTCCCTTACTTGGACGAGGTAACTGTTTAATGCTTCCCAATTTACATTAGTCGTCCAACTTAGATCGGTTCATGATCGTGATATATATTTGATTGTACATTTTTATGTGTTGAGCAGTTGCAGATCATCGCTAGAATTGGCGCTTGGTTCACAAATGAATCTTTCTATAACTGTTATGGCTTTTGTACGCTGATCAATATCACATGTTGAAGAATTTTATTTATAAAGTTTACTCCACATCTGAAGTTCCTTCTGTAGCCTAGTATTATAATTTTGAACAATTATACGTCTAACATGCACCGTTAACGATGAGCTGGCTCATACCATAAGTGAAAGAGAACTGTGTAGCAGGTCCGTAATGAACTAACGGTAACTTAAGAACGATGTAACACACAACAACCGTCTATGAATCATGGAATATCTTACAAGCAGGACAATACAAAAAATTTATTAAGTATTGAATAATTATACGATGGGAATATAAACAATAACTTCGCGTAGGAGACAGTTCAAAAAATTCAACTTTCCCTATACTCATATATATATAGTCCATTAATTGGTCCTGGAAGTTACCATTCCTTTATTCTTTGTTCTGATGTAAATTTCTTTTCTTTATAATTACGTTTCATATTATCTTTTGTAGTATTACGTTAATAGTTTCGATGAGGAATTTGTTACTGCAACAATTCAAGCAATTGGACGATGTGCTAGCATCGTTCCACAAATATCAGATGTTTGTCTAGGTGGTCTTCTTCGATTAATGTCCAGACCGAAAGGTAAATTTTCTTTCGTCATTACTTAGCTTTTTTCTCGTTTTCTGTGTTCATCTTACCTCCTTTCCGTCATTGAATTCAGCTACTTTTCTTCACTGTTAATCGGGATTGTCGATTAAGTTATTTTATATGATCACAATGGTTTGTTAATCCTTGTTGTAAATCTTCATTGGCTGAGGTAGTTGGTATACGCCACTACCGCTTACCTTGATTCGCATTATTTGCTGGTGCATAAGAAAGCTAGTGGTGGTCAAAAACATACGTAACATCAGTCATTAACAGTTGAACTGAGCTGTTTAGGCTGGTGTAGCATACTCGATTGAGGTCCAAACTACAACCGCGACCAGTGGTTCAGAGAATTGGATTAACATGGCTCACAATTAATTTAAGTGACGCAAATGGATTCACAAATTGTCTTCCGTTAAATTTCAAGTTTAAAAATTATCTCTTACTTTTTCATTTGGCGAATTTATTCTTCGCGTTTATATCTAATCTTTTCTACTAACACTGTCACTAATACTGCTTACACCGATTTCATTTCATTACGCTGGTTTGGTTTGTCGATTTGGGCTTATGGGTATGTGTCAAGTTCCGTCGATGTAGCTACCGGCACGTTGCGCTGATGAGGACTTAATAGCACAAAACTTAGGTCAAACAGAGTTTCATTTTGACTATCTTCAACCATCTAACGTCGAAACGACATAGTGTACGCGTTTTCAAATCACCTAGACTATTGGCCATATTGAAATTTGATCGGTAGAATTCAATCAACACTAGGTATAGCTAGACAAACATGATGATGTTCACTATTCAATTCAGTGATCATCCTGTTATAAATATCTATGTTCTACAGAAGGTCGGTCGCTTCTTCAGTAGCTCAGTGGTAAAATCCCAGACAAGTTGGAATTAGGCCAATCCTATAAATAACTTGGCGTCGCGTGAAATGTGTCTTGGTGTCAGATTGTTCAAAGTGGTCGACAAGAGACTCTGGACCAATGTTCCATATTAGTTCGCTCTTGTTACTTTCAGCTCATTTAGCTCAATAATAACTCATACTGTGAAGTGGGTGGCATGTGCTGGAATCCGATTCAAACCATCAGTTCCTTCAAGATTACATATACGTCTTGAAGCAGTATTAATGTAAATCAGTGGATCACATTTTTTCTAATAAATTTCGATGTGGTACTAAGTTGATCATAGAGTCACACAATATCTTCAGTTAATCAATATCTATGGGTAAATGCATTATTGTGATCGTTTATCACGTAAACATCTTACTTACTAATTTAAAATTCTTATCGTTCCTTTTAGAAAAAATCATGGGCGAATGCGTGATTGTACTAAGAAAATTATTACAAATGAAAGTAAGTAAACATGTTCAATATTTATTCTGTAAGCCAATTTTATATTGTATATTTTATTAATTACAGCTGTTAAAAGTCACGATTATCTGGGGTATTTCGCAACTTTTCTTAAGTTGGAATTGTGCCAATACATTGCAACCCGGTATTCTTAATGATTAAGCTTTCTTTTCAGGATTTCATGGTCTTGGGTTAGTTTCCTTGTTGAATCATAAGTACACATTTTAATTTCCTTATCAACTCCCTAATCTCTATGATATCCATATCATTGTTGGGAAAGATTTGAATTTTCTCTTTGATATTCAAGACTAATGTTCTATCAGTCTTTGTTGAAGTTTTTGTTGGGGTGATCCAGAAAATTGCTTGCAAGAGAAAAGAAAGGATCAGGAAACACTAAGAAGCGTTTCATCCAATCAGCGTTCACTTGAAGTCTTAGCCAAAAACATCAAGGAATCGAAACGTCACATGCAGAGGCTCTGATTGGTTGGCTGCTACACTGCTACTACAGAATTTTCTAGCAACCCAAGGACATTTAAAACATAAAAACCCTGTATTTTCTGTATTAAAATGAACCATGGAGTAAAGTACTTCTCGCATACTTTGAGTCTTCTCTCTCGTGTTCAGGTCGCTGTATAGTTCTAGCTTGGGAGTTACCGAATAGCTTAGAAGACGAATATAGCGTTCAATCCGCAAGACTTATCAATTTTTAAATCTAGTCCAGATCCCTTTGATATAGCCATTTTATCATTTTTAAAGTATAGATTGATAGTGTTGGGAATGAAGACTTAGTTGAGGTAAATCAATTTATTGTTTAATGCAAAATTACACAATGCCTTTGTAAAATGTGAGAATCACACATCTTTTTTGAGTTGTTCTTTACATACTTCATCATTCTTCCAATTCAGTTGTTATTTCAACTGCTCTCTGTCTTCCTTCCTGTTCTCTTTATTTCAACCTCCTACTGGTAAGCATTACGCCTCCTATTCCTGCTACATACTACTTACATCTGTCAACATAAGTAGCCCATACCATAATGGTAACTAGCAATGGGATCCTGAATATTCGTGTTTCGTACTACTTGAGACTCATCAGCCGGATGTATCTGCGTCAAATCATAAAGACTACTTCTAATCCAGTTCAGAACAAGTGTCCTTCCACAATGTAGGCAACTGGCAAGTGGTGAGCACACTCACCTCTTTGATTACTGACTGCCTGAGTCATTTATATTCCTGCCTTAATTATTCTAAGCTTTCTTTTAATTAGGTAGTATTATTTTCGATTTGTTTTTATTTGATTATTATCTCATTACTTTATAGACAACTGATCATAAAGAAATTATTACACATATAGCTCAATTAGCAGATACTATGACAATTCCGACAGCTTTAGCATCGATATTATGGCTTCTGGGTGAATTCAGTCATCGTGTACCGAAAATTGCACCTGATATCTTGCGTAAAATGGCTAAATCTTTTACACAACAAGAAACTATTGTTAAATTTCAGGTAATTATATTTATTGTTAGTTTTAAACACATAAATCGTCAATGGTATGTACCTGTTTTAATAGTGCTTATTCTACTTATATATGGTTTGTAGGATATTTTGGGCAATATACTAACTTGTGTTTATCATATAGTTACTTACTCACTTACACTTGTTACCTTTCATACAGGAGCATACGCTGCTCACCAGCATTATCCATCGAATTCTGTCCTAGGCAATCCTTTACAGTTGTTCCCAGTTACTATTCATCCTTTTGGTATCTGCTTCCGATTCTTGGCTCTTTCATTTTTCTACTACTCGAGGATTTGTCGTGAAATAATTATATTACAGTGCTAATATGGCATGGCAACTCAAATCTGCGCACGTATGCATTAGGTTCTGCGTTGCATATGGTGGACTAGTTAAGTGTATATTATCTGTAATAACCATATCCTGGAAAGATTTATCTCAATCTCCCACAACGATTGTTTTTCATATCTCATATCAGATTTATTTCATCCTTTATTCATCAATTTATATGTTAATAGCACAATGAGGTGGCAAATTCGTATATCTTCAGCTTGAAATATGCTTAATGGAGTTTCTTTTTTGAACACATAAATGTAGTTTCATGTACTATTGGAGTATTTATACTCCTTCATTTATTTTTTTTTCCATGAACATACACCTATCTCTGATATATGTATGTTACGTGATTGTAAGTAGTCAGTACAAAGCAATTTTATTCTTTGTTAATACATTAGCAAGGTATATTTAAAACTCCTTAGCAATTGATTCCATGTTAGAGTTTCGAAACCATATCGTTTAATGTCGAATTTAAAGATATTATCGGAAAACAGTTGGTCCAGCTTTGACTACATTGTAGAACTAAACTAATCACAGTGATTCAATCATTTGGATATCATATATATTGTTCAACCATTAATGTTAATTATAATTTGATTATCAAATAAGTTAGCCGAATAATATGTTCCAAGTCCTACATTGTTCATTAATTGTGAAACCAGTCGATACGATTCTCTAGTTGTTAGAGTTTCGTAACTTTCTACCCACTCGCATTAATAAGATACATCTCCATTCACGAAGGAAAGTGATGTACTGGAATTAAGGTTTATCTTTTCAAATGTTCATACTACTTGTTATGAGATTATTGTTTAATGATCATTTCAGTATTTCAGTAGTAGTTTATACGTTTTCATCTGTTCTTTTCTTTTTTTTACCAAAAACAAAATAATTTCCTTCTAGATTATTAATTTAGCAGCTAAATTATGCATTGTCAATCCGCGTCAAACACTTATTCTAACACAATATATCTTCAATTTAGCTAAATACGATACTAATTATGATATACGTGATAAAGCTCGATTTTTAAGAGGTTTATTATTTCCACAAATTGTAACAAATGTAAGTCTAACTTCTTTTCTTGTGGCTGGCGTTAACAATATGGTATTATGATGAGTTGTTATACATGATATAGTTAACTGTCATCATCATCTTGACAAAATATTAGGGTAGTTAAAGTACTAGTGAAAAGTTGAAAGACCACTGAATATGTATAATTTTCACGGAGACTATCAGCTTGTACCTATATAAAATATAATATAATTACATGAAGTAGTTGAGTACTCTTTTGCGTTATATAGTCAATTGCAGATAACTATTAGTTCTCGAAAATTCTTTGCAAAAGTTTTCAGAAACTGAGAAAACGTTCAAAACACTTTGGATAATCAGAGTCCAATGATAATATATTATATTTTGCATTCTTGTTGGATAGCGACCGAGTTTCTTACTAAATTTAGCATGTTTTCGGAAATTTCCAGAACATCAAGGTCATACACAGATATATAAATGTTCTTGTTTTTTGTGCCTACAATATCCTTCTAAGATAAGCTTGTTTCACACTTCTTGCCTTCCGTCTTCCGTTTGCCGTCCAAGTTTAGGAGATTTTGAGTGACTATCAAGTGTTTAGAAAGTCATCAAGCGTATCAATATAATGATGACACAAATTAGCAGTTGAAAGACCGCAATAAAAATTGAAACACAAGAAATACACCTTAAAGGAAATAAATAACACTAGATAATAACAAGTTAGGAAATGGGAACTGCTTGAAACCGCCCTGTTTCATCCAATATCTGTTACTATTAATTACAAGCATTATGCAATTCCCGGTTAAGTATTCTTTATCAACACTATTTGTCAGTAATTTCATACATTCATACTATCTGTTTATTATACCTATTCCTGGATTTCTACCATCTTATTACAGTACCATCTTCAGTCGTTGTAGGTTTTAACTTTATCAATCAATTTGCCGTTTCCACCCAGTAACTTCCGTTGATGAATGTCTGACTGATTTACTCAGTATTAATCATTCACTTTTTCTAACACATGTAGAAGATGTTTTAAACATATCCATGATAAAGCACTTACAACCCACATGTGTTTTCTATTTTCTATATTATATCATTTACTATGCTGATTCAATGAACTAACCGGTATGGCATCTAACTCATTATATATTTCATCTCTTATCTTTATTTATGATTCGGGTATTTTGAATTATGTTCTTTTTTTCAATACATAGACCAAAATTTACTTTCGTTTTTAAAGGAAAACCAATCTTGTTTTAATTACAGCCAACTCTGATTAGCGACGATAGTTCATCATCACCTGGAGTCCATAAAAATGCATTGAAATCAAATACTACTACTAATAATATTAGTAGTAATACATTTTTATCTAAAAATGTTCGTAAAATCTGTTTAGCCACTAAACCGGCACCAATAATCAAATCACAATTTGAAGGTAAGTTGTTACTATTGTTTCTCTTTCATAGCTTTTAATAAGGTTGAAGTGACTTTTTGGCATTGACTTATTGTATACTACTGATTTACTTAGAATTAAAAGAACTAACAAACATCTAGGTCAATCTGCTGTAAACAACATGACACCTGGGATATATATAGATACATCGGTTCAAGTTGCCAGTTCATATCACTACACCAAGATGAATTTACCAAAACAAGTTTCAGAGTACTAGTAGACGTAGGAAGAATACTAGTAATCATGGAAAAGATTAGACATAAATGATATGACTGACGAAGAAAGAATGAACCCGCAGAAAAAAAAGTGTAAAATAATTTCAAAGTTCCAGATCCCAAGGCAAATAAGGAGTGAATACATCTAAAAAATTATTATCGATTGCAAGGTACGTCATCTAACATCCGTAGTCATTCGTTACGATAATTAAATTCATCTCAATCAGGGATAAAACGGCAATTCTGTATGCATGTTACTTTGAACTATGAATCATTTCCAAATGAAAGTTATTGTTATGATAGACATATTTACTTATTTAAATATCGGTGCAAAGGAGTACCAAAATATATATGCCACACAAAAGGTAGTTGTCATTAAATTTGTGTATGATTTGCGATACTATCTGTGTGCCCCAAACCGAAGCAGATGTCTTTCGCGGAGTACCGTTTCCCGAGCCTTGGACCTAGAAATCTAATCCACAAGGCAGTGAATCAACGTCAGGAGATACGGTCCCATGATAAACAGTAACTGACAGTAGTTCATGCGCCAATTATCCCCTCAGGATCTTGAAACTCATGTATACCACAAGTTTGGAATCCGTGTTTTTGAATAATCTTAGATGGATCCTCCGTACTCACAAACCGGTTTTAAGCGCCGGACAGTCTCTTTCTATCCTCTGACTTTTGTACACAACACCGCTTCTAAGAAGGCAGTGAATAGAAATTTCCCGCATGTGGCTATATACGCGTGGCCATGTAAGAGCATTTGGAGAGGGATAGTGGACTCTCACCACCACCGTCTCTACCAGGGCATTTTGGGGTATGATACACCTACACAGTTATTATATGTGAAAATTTTACACAGTTGCCTAAACAAATCTAGGTGAATCCGGATGTATACATATAAGCGAACAATCGATAATGTATAAATGCCTATATATTTTACACTAAGTCTTCAATATTAGTGAAGGCGTTAGAGAATGATACGATGTATTACAAACCTTATTATTATTTATTTATTTATTTATTTATTTATTTATTTATTTAAACACATAAACATCGGTACAAGGAGGCACCAAATACATATGCGCCACATAAATCATTCGATTTGTGTGAGGGCTGGGATAGTGCCCGGGAGCTCAGACCGAAGCAGGTGGTTTACTTAGGAGCCACACCCCGAGCCTTGGACCTAAAGGTCTGACCCACAAGGCAATGGAGCATCATGAGGAGATGCAGTCCCATGGTAGCCGGTGACCAAGAATTGGTTCATACGCCATTTGTTCCCTCAGAATACTGGAGCCCATGTTCACCATTGGTTTGGAATCCGGTTAAAGCGCCGGACATTTGCTTTTCGTCCTTTGAATTTCGTAAACAACACCCCCGTGGTGCGAGAAGGCAATGAGTAGGACTTCCCTGGCAGTTTGTTATTGTGTTTCTACTAAGTCGTTTAGTAAAATTACGCAGCACTTAGGCTGTAAATTACAGGTATAGTATCATTGTTTATTTATTTAGTAGTGATTGTTGTCAGGCTTTTTCTACTGATATGTGACGTGTCCGAATAGTGATTATTTGAGAATATCCGATCAATATTATATATATATATATATATATATATATATATATATATATATGGAACAGAGTCAAATCCTACAAGAGCTACTTTACTTTACGACGTTGGGAAGTTTGACTATCCTTTTTACATAAAACTATGACTGGAAGATGAGTATCTTAGTCAGTTCATAGTTAAAATATAGAATTATCCATTAACCACAATGTTGTCATTATCCAATTGGGTCAATATCGACTTTTTTTTTACCAATTTTAGAGTATATTCTCTAAAAGTCTTTGAATCGACGTGTCTACATAAACTAGTTTGAGCAGTAAATTTTTTTTCCATATCTTCTGCCCTTTTCTTTTTGCCTGGTCGTCTAGAAAACAGTCAGACAGTCATTGTCTTGGGGTGTAAATATATAAAGTATCAGTTATTCACAAAAATAATATATAACCATATATAATTGGTACATAATACTTAAGAAACTATTTTTTCCAGTTATTTGTATATTTTTCTAATACTTATAAATCTTCCCTTGTCTAGGTCGATCCAACTTTCGTCTAGGTACATTATCGCATATTTTACAACATTGTTTATCCGGTTATCAAGAACTTACCGATTGGCCAACTATCCCACCAGATCCATGGTCACGTGTTATCGCAACACCTCTTCAATCAACCGCTACTTCGAATGATAGCGAATCTTCTGAAATGAATTCACCTAAATCATCTGTTCTACATGTTAAACATCGGATAGATGAAAAAAAGAAAGATCGTTTTGGAAATATTTCCTTAAATGATTTCTTCTCAGAAACAGAAGATGATGATGAGGAGGAGGAGGAGGAAGAGGAGAATGAAAAGGAAATGGATGGATTAATTGATGAAAGACAAGAAGGAAATAAGAAAGCTAAAAGTACATTGTCAGTAAGTTGTAATCTTTTTTGTATTGATGAACAATTAGTACAATAATATTCTATAGTTTATATTCGGATTGATTTTGGCTAGCCGATAATTAGAAAATTAAGAAGCGTGGTAGACAAATGGTTTGTCTGTGTATGGGTCTCCGTAATAGTAGTGCACATCCATAGAGAGCGCCGATATATATGCGCCACACAAAACAATGGGAATTCGAAGAGAAGTAGAAAGAAAAAAAACTAAGGAACGCAAAAGAAAAAGAGAGTAATGACGAAGAGGTACAATCAGAAGAAATCTTTCAGGTAAAGGAGACACAACCACTTTTTATGAAGAAAGTAAAAGAAGGTTACAGCAGGATCGCCACTGGCTTCTATTCTGAGCCATATCTGATAACGTCTCTAGCCACTGTGTAGCACCATCTCTCGGACCCCAGCCAGGGAGTCGTGAAGGACCAACACAAGCCAGTCCTTTGCAGCTTTCTTTCACTCCACGACACCATGTCATGCACTGACCACCTCTCCGCTTCTTCCAACCAGTCCCAGAGTCGGCAAATAATGCACGACGTGGAATTCTCTGGGACGACATTCGGAGAACATCCATAGTTATAAACTAAAACGAAATATATTCTTAATTCATTTCCTTTTACATCGTTTTTCTTGTCTATCTGTGAATATTTAAGGAAATATTAGGATTCCATACAGATCAGATGATTACTTTGTTATAGTTTCCAAGTGCTACTCACAGTGTGCACAACTAAGAGTTGATATATAAGAGAAATAAATCTTTGAGAGTTGTCGGTAGTCAAAAAGAGACTCTGCTTAACTTAGGTTTTGCTCTAATTCTAACTTATTAGCGTACATGAAATTTTAAAGGAATTAACCCAATTTCAAAGTCTGAGCCGTTACTCATACTGCTGTTCGAACAGAAACTAAGATAGTTACTACAGATAGACCATTGATTAGTGACCACTCACTTGTAGAAAAAAGATATAAATGTCTTGATTTTTTATTATTATTTAACTGATGTCCATCGTCTTTGATGAAAACTATCTTGGAAAATAGATTATTAATGTACAGAAAACCACCCATCTCATTAAATGCTCCCTATAACCATTAGTGTCAGGAGTTTGTGGAGATGAAACGCTACTATCTCCACAAACCCCTTCGACTAATAATAATAATAATAATAATAATAATAATAATAATAATAATAATAATAATAATAATAATAATAATATGCTCACTGATGGCTCATTTTAAGAACTAATTTTCTGACCTTTAGTAAGAAATAGTGACCATTGGTGTTCAACCATTTTGGCTGTCTCACTCTTGAAATATTTGATTATCATCATTGTGAAAACTTTTTTTTAGTGAAACCTAAACTTTCGCAGTTATTAGTATAGTAATAGTTATTACTCTGAATTTTTTTCTGTCAGTCATTCTATGGGAGTGGAAATACTTCCAGCGATGGTGATGACAACGACGAGTATACTAGCGATGAAGATCAATTTAAAAAGAATGAAGAAGCGACCGATAAAGATGATCATTATGATAGTGAATCAGATTCCGATTTTGACATAGAATACTTGCTTCGATCAAAACAACAGTTGTCTACAGTACAAAACCATAGTATTAAAGAACAATCATCCAGTTCATCTAATATATCCGAATCTCAATCATCATCATTATTACCAACTGGTGTTCCCGCTCCTGTTACCATTACTACTCTTAATGACACCATTACTTCCGAGTCATTGAAGGAAGATTCATTCACTGGAGAAAAGTTTATCCATGATATTAATGAATTACAAATTTCAATGAAACAAGATTTGAACAGTTGGCTAAACGCTCAATCATCATCATCGTCTAATGAGTCTGTTCATGATGCTGTGATAAAAGAGGACATTGAAAAATTTACTGAACAATCATTAGTAAGTTGTAATTATTTACATTTTACATTCAACCATATAAACCTTTTGTTGTCCTTCTCTAAATTATGCATTCTCCTTAATATATCGTAAATGTCTGGTGATAAATAAATCGTCCAAAATTTACCTTTGCTATTCCTCCGTATAACTAACTAACTAACCGTGTTGTTCAAAAAATAAAAAGTGAAGATGGGCATAAGACAAGTATTATCAATGTGAGTAGATAATGTTCACACAATTAAATTAAAGTCAAACATGTCTTTCTTTGGACTTTAACTCAATGATATGAGAATTTTGAACACTTAATGTGTAAGGCTTAAAATTATAACATAAATGTGTGAGTTCTGGATAATAAAACGAAAGAGCTATCAAGTGGCTCTCGATTTACTAACTAAGGTTAGTAGTGATACTAGCTGTGAAATGTTTATTTATTAAAGAGTTGAATTTATGAGATATTTTGCCAGTGTGTAAACTTTCGACTAGTATATTTATTACCAGTGACAGCACCAAACTTATGGTCAGCCTAGGCACAATTATACTTAATAATTTCAAAATAAGTTCCATTGCACGAATTATTTTCGTCGCTTCGGCAAATAGACTACATTATTTTATCATGTTTCGGTTACCGTGAAATCTTATTTGGTTTCATATAACCTTGTTAGTAATTATCAGTGTAGGTTGTATTCATCAGGAATTGACGTCAATCACGGTACCGTTACAAGACAAGGATCACTGAACAGCTGTTTCATCCTAGCGTGGACTCCTCAGTAGTGGGAACCTACTATCTGTGATGAATAAAACTTGCGCATTTAATCAATCTCCACAAAAACTTTTAATTAGTGAATAGCATTGAGATGCTCCTGAAGTTCCAGTGATAAGTCACGACTGGTAAGTTTCAAATATTTCGGGCACTGAAAAATTTGTCACCAATGGTATCGAATGATCTTCACTCCATATCGCAAATTTATTCAAATCTTTACGTCCCACAACCACCCAGTATGCGTATATAACCTTAAGCGATAAATACATAGCAAGGACAAGGAAGACTGATACTCTATGCCTAACGGTCAGCCCATTACTAACTAGCTCCTAACAAAGAGGGACAACGCAAGACCAATGTCCACCAGTCCAAGTTATTATATTTCAGACACTCATTTCTATAAACACAAGACCACGGGCTATTTGAATAGCAGTATTAACACGGAACAACAACATTGATGATGGGAAAACGGAATACTCGATACACAATTAGTCAATTATAGTTTATGTGTGGAAAACACTATAGCAACGAGTTTCAGTTCAAATGAAAGTTCAGAACTATGATAATAAGAAAACGATAAAACCAAAATACTTGGTAAAAATGCTATATATATGATCGTAAAAAGTAGCCTCGGATGTTTTCTTACCTCTGAGGTAAATCGTCTCTTATAATAGATATTATACTATCAGACACCGACCCAGCTGTTCTAATGATTAATGATTCACCGTGAGATCTGAAGGTATGAGTTACAAGACTGAGTTTAGTCATAGTTAGTCATTCCTGTATGGAACTTTTAATTATGATAAATATCCTACCTGTATTTGTTCTTTATCATAATTTGTATGTATGTCTAATTGATTCATAGTGGTTGAGGCTCCTCAGTGAGTTGAATCGGCACATCAACCATAATTAACGCGGAGCCTGACACAAATGCGCGTTAGCTCAACGTACCATACCAAATCTACGTGTTCAGATATAATTGATAAAATAAATTCCAAAGGAGTTGAAATAATGCACTGTTAATAATTGCAAGAAAGATTAAACAGTTAGAACAACATTCGAAAAGACTGAATAAAATGGTGTGAATGAAAGATTACTCTAATTCAAGATTCAGCGAATGATAAAACATTGATTCATCTGTGCCGTCGTAATCGATTGTAAACTATAGAAGGTTACTTCCTCAATTTCGACTTGAAAATTTGATGACTCATTAATCGTGCTTTTTCATAGTAGGCTAATTCTTTTAGTATCGCTATGTGTATTTTAAATGAGTGTAAGTCAATAAAACCATGTCATTTAGCATCTTCAAACGCTTATCGTAGTTATCGTGCAAGTGCCATTCAAGTAGTCGGTATTCACCAACATGGCTCAGATCAACAGTCATAGACTAATTTCATGTTTTTGGTTAGCCTACTTTTTTATTTCTACTAATTTATTCCTAATCGAGCTAATATCATCTGTTTAGGCAATCGGTGCTTGGGCATACCTAATGCATGTTGCATTCTGCAAATGGTCTAATAATTAACTATGTCAAACTTTGAACTTTCGTATATATATATAAAACTTTTCTTGCATTCTAGGTAAATACAAGTGATTCTAAGCTCAACTGCGATCAGCCAAGTTCAAATTTCACATCTGATGACTTGATTCATACGCAATCGAATTTTAAAGGTATCATTTTTAGATCAATTTAATGACATAATAATATAGAACGGTTGCGTTACGATAACTAATCTCATTGTTGAATATAATTAATGACCATGTGATTTGTATATATACAGACGAAACTGATTTGATGGAAAGACTTTGCAGCTGAGGAGACTGATTTTGTGCCCACCTACAATCATACTATAACTTGACAGCATGACGTTCGTGTCTGGCACTGGGCATTAAACAGTGCGATAACTGGATTTCATTCCAATTGTTTACGTTTCTCACTGCAATCAATTCGTAATATAATGCAGTAACCGTTGAATCTCAACAGTTATAACTATGGCTCTCCTGTTAGAGCTAAACTTTACCGGTTATGACTGTTCATCGAGAATTCCAGGGAACTCAATGAAAAAGGAGAATATTACTAGTGTGAACATTGTTTTCAATGAGAAGTTTTATAAAAATCAGTTCCCAAATAGATGTACTCTAACTGATTTTATTCTATGACGAATATCACTTACCACAATAGAACGAAACGGCCGTCCAGTGCTTCCAGGTTTTCAATGGTGATGTAACATCAATCGGTTCATGATCTCAATCAAAAACTCAATAACCTCCACAACCTCATGCTGATAATTTTTACAGTTGAATTCACAAGTCAATCTAAGCTAGACCATTATTGAAAACCTGGAAGCATCGGATGGCCGTTTCGTCCTAGAATGGAACTCCTCAGCAGTGCACACCCACGATCCCGCACTTAGGAAAGACTCGAACCCAGGATCCATACTGATAAAAATAATTTTCACAATATTCTATCAGAGATTCTTTCAATAAATAAATTATTTTGGGGCTCAATGGGTATATTTAAATGGTAAAAGGAAAAATAATATATTTATTACTACATATATAGATATATAACTCTGTCTTACATTAAGAATTGAAATGAATTGTAAGTTGTAATTTTTCCATTTTAGATACTTGTGAAGTAAATAATAAAGAAACCAACGATTCATCGAATATCTGTGATCCTTTACTACAACATTCGAATGATCATTGTGTTAATTTTCCCTTACAGGTAATTTGTTCTTTGTTTTAATGTTATTGTATGCTCTTTTTTATGGGGTTTTTCCTCTGAGATAGATTGTTTGTTCACGAAGCTCTCATCGTTCTTCTGAACGTCATCATCAGCGCAAACTTCTACCTGAAGTTTTTTTTAATAAATACTTTTCAAAAACGGAGATCAATTGTTATTTATTGACAAGAATATAAAACTTACACTTCCTAAAGCATAAATAACTTTTGTAGAAAACACTTTATAAGAACATTAATTTCAAAGGTGATGTAGTTACAGACGTCCTAAAGAGAAGATTATCCGACTCTCTCAATAGGACGTTCTTTCCAGCCACTTTTCAAATAATGTTCTCCATCCGGTTAATGTTTAGTAACAATCTTAAGGATAAAAAATCTCATTTAACCAATTTCATGTGCGTCCATCAACTTATCTGTTCCTGTGGAGCCAGGTATATAGGTCGTTCGATGCATATTTTATCCAAAAGAATTCGAGAACACTATCTAGCTTGGCTTAAAGGAGGTGGAGCAACTTGTCAACACAGATTACTCAATCAAAGCGGATTCTGCGTTTAAAGTCATCCATGAGGTAAATATAAGTTTGACAAAGGTAGTCATATTCCATCTTCTTAGCATCGCTGAAGCATTAGCTATACATCTGGAAAAACCAGGATTATGTGTCCAAAAGAAGTTGATACAACCGCTTTTTGTACCATTGTCTTAATCTTCCATGATTTCCTTTCTTATTCATACTTTTCTTCTTTCACAGTCATCTGCTTTCTCTTCTATTTCCTCTATAAACCTTCTATCTCCAACTGATTTGTTTCTGCTTCGATGATCCTCTGGATTACGGTTGATCTCAATTTCAACATTTTGTCTTATCATGATGAGCCTTCCTTTCCCAATTATAATTTCCCTATTTATCTTCATGATGAATATTAAAGCTCTCAACAGCAGAATTATTATTATTTCGTTCTCTATGCCCTCGGAACTCCAAATTCTTCGTATTTATGTATTGGGGGATATGATTAGGTTTCGCTTTCGACTAATAAGGACCCAGCTGTTTTTATATAAGGGTTTACTCTAAACCTGTGTATCATTATGTTTCTCACTAGAGTATGTGTTAAGAAATTTTACCATTTTTAATGGGTGAACTAGACAACATGTAATATTCGATTCAGCTGAATCCCAAAAAGGACAAAACGCCCGTCCTGAATTCCACTGCTAGCTACCATCCATTTATGCTTATTCGATAAAATGTTTATAAATTTGATTTCACACTTCATGACTCATCTGCAAGATATATTTCTTCATCTAAATAGTCTACCCAATTAATACACAAACTCAGATTACAGAAACTTTAAAATATTCTTCATTTATAACAATACTCTTTTCCTATCTCAGTTCTCATTTTTTGAAATATTCTTAAAATTCCTCGTATGTTGAACTCGTTGTTTCACATTTTTATATAACCGTGTATACAGAAGATTTTTCCAAAATTTGAACATCAGTGATCTTTTAAATAGTAAGCCAGATATTGGAAAGTATAGCATACTTTTATAATTACAGAAGGTTTATGGTTGTGCTAACTCGTGCATCACTCTTAGAGTTTCTTCCTTAAAGAAAACTCTGGTGAGATTAGAATTTTCGAATGACCATTAAGCTATCGTAAGGTAGTAACTTTGAGTCAACTCAATTAGTTATCATGTGTGAACGATTAGGATTAGGATTTAGGCTTAGAAGTTACGACCAGGAGTTTTCATCATAAAACAGCATCAGCTATAATGCGGAAATCTAAAAGGAACTATCTAAAATCTGATTGTTTTGTTTATTAATTATTATTCGGGCCTGCTTGTTCTTCATTATATTACCTTTAGTTTCCAACATCTCGTTAATCTTTTTATTTACTGTCAGTAATTCATTCCGCCATTTTTAATTAAATGGACCCTATAGACGTATCAGTTATCCACATGAGAAGAAGCTTCAATGTGTATTGAAGCTTTTCCATAGGTTTGAGCTATCCTACTACTGAGCTAATACTGCTCAGTTGACTGGTTACTGTTGAGTGACCAATATCATGCTTGATTAGTCGAATTCTATTGATAACGTTACAATATGACCACTAGCTCAAGTAACTCATTATCGTACTTCCTTCTTTTTTATGTAAGATGGTTGAAGTTGACCAGCAGGAATCCTGTGACTGTTTCCATGCTAGTCCACACATGTCAGCAAAGCGGGCCTTCAATCTTGAGTGAACTGATTCTCCCTGTGGGTAGTGTTATTAATAGCAGCAACTTTTCAAACTGCGAAACTAGATGTTGTGGGTTCGAATCCACTATGCAGCATTAATTCCCTTTAAGATTCCAGATACTTCCTATTGACTCCATTCAACTACTTAACTTTCGATATACTACCAATTTTTGCTAACTGACATATTTAGAAATCTAAAAGGAAAACTGTTTTTGTTTCTATTTGCTTTCATTTATGTATAGATTCATAATTATTCACTTTTATGGTTTACTCTAACTAATCCACATGAAAATGATATATCTGGTCAATTACAATATAGTCGTATAGTTTGGCCTAATCATCCGAAATTAATTGTAATCAATTTGAAATTATGTAATCAAAATACATGCGTAGATTTGACAAATATTCAATTTGATTTAATGAATAGTGTAATAGGTCGATTATTAGTTGATGCTAATCGAATTCAGTCTTTCAGTCCAATAGGTAATCCATTAATTTTGTTAAAAATAAAGTATTGAATTTTATACTACTTAATTACTTTTAATTTTGTGTTTGTCAGTAATATAATTATTAGTAAGCATTGTTTTTTTCAAAGTGTTTAACGTTTATTTATGTGTATTGGTTGTTTGGATATTCCCATTGTTATGCCATGAATTAGAATTGATCAATCTTCGTTGGCATATGTGCATCCTGTGGGGGAATGGTTCGATATTGACATTAGATTACAATTGTTTTTGAGCAAAGTTGGATGGAGGTTAATACTGATATCCATGACGTGCGTTTCATCCTATTTAGAACTCATCAGTTGAGTGTATATGGATTTCTGGATCCCAGTGCTAGCCACCATCCAACTCTCACTAGAAAAGTTTACCGTTTATATTATGTTTTTGACTGATCATATAATGAAGTAGGTAAATCGGTTATTGTTGATAGAATGTGTTCGTATAGTGGTTGAAGATGAGCTATTGCGTGGTTGCTTAAAATATGTAGTTTTCTAGATGGAGCATTTTTAATACGTTTCGCCAGGAGTCTGATATACAAGACAGTAGAGAAGTGTCAAGGAATAGGATCCTTTGATTGTCGGTAATTATGGAGTTTACTATTGCTTTAGACTTAGAATTTCCTGAGTCTCCTAGATGAATTATCCATATTGATCAAACTAGTTTAATCCCTTGCTCTCTCGGTTTGTCTCTTTTATGGAATACCTTTCCCCTCTTGAAATCAATGAGGATAACTTCTATAGTATAAGTCAAATACACTCAACCTTATGAAGTCATTTGGAAGCAAGAAGTTCTCAGGTGTTTGTGGTTTGAATTTGTAGCACTCTGATATAAAAATAGATGCGCATACATCCACTCATATCTTCCAATAGGATAGATTTATTATTTTACTTATATGACATTCTCACATAGCCTATCGTACTAACTGAATTGTTCTCATTGAAAATGCACATTCTTATCAATTAATATGTCAATTCTACACAAGTTTTTACGTTAATTTACCGTCTTAACTTTTCTTAATGTTTAGTTATACACATATGGCGACGGTTGTACTTCATAAAAATTAGTTCAAGTTACAAACACACCGCACTAAATGAGGTGAAACCAGTAACTTACCGTCAATGTTAAAGGCAAACAAAGATATAAAATAATTATTTCAATTTGTCTGAGTGCAGGTTGATTACATCTTATGCTTGAAATGCAGAAGTTATAGCCAACAGAATTAATGATTGTCGGCTTTATTGGATATTGATTGAAGTTTTAAATGTTGACTATTGGTTCACAGATTTACAAACAAATCTGGAGTTGTTGATTGCACACTGGTAAATATAGTCTCTACAACTAATCTAAAAAATCTGTCTGAACTCAGTAGCTAAGTGGATAATGCGATGGCGTTTAAAGCAAACGGTATTGGGTTCTAGTTCCGGAGTCAATATCAACTCTGTAATGCAGGTACATCCAACTGATAAGTCTCAAATCATATGGAACGCTCATCATGGATTCCAATCCCAGCCATCATCCATCTCTACTTAAAATCAATGTCCAGTACCTTTTTAATTTTCGTTAGCTTTACTGTTAACATTAATCCATGACGTAAATTCTCCTCAAAATTAAGTTCATCTTTAAAAACTATTCACTTAATTAATTTGATCAGGAAGAAAAAAAATATGAGGGTAAACATTATTATTAAAATCAGTAAAAGAAATTATTCGATAGTTTTTCACATCGTAGGCTAACTCGAGTTGGATAGACATTGGTAACAAACAAACACTGTACAGCTCTATCGTCCCAGTATTGAACTTCTCAGTAGTACAAACTTACTATTCCACGAGGGATCGAACCACAATCAATTCATGTTATGATATTCTCAAACAATCTTCACAACATTCTATAACAACAGTAATAGTTTAGTTACTGATATTTAAGTAGTATAGTTAGATACCATGACATAAATAACATAACTTATAATGTAGAATTTTCTTTAAACACATTTTATTACATTTTCAACTATCTTGTAATATATATATTTTTCCAACTTATATCAAACAGTACAATTGAAACCTCAATCAACCTGTACAGTACAATTTGGCATAGATTTTGCTGGATTTTGTGATCCAATTGATTTAGATCTTATTTATGAAATGAAATCAAATGATTCATTGAATCATGAATTATTACATAGATGGAGAATTTGTTTAAATCCACCAGCATCAGAATTAATACGACCTATTCATTTAAATGAAAAAGAATATTTTGACGAAAGATGTATGTCGATTTTCTGTTTATATTTAATATTATTATTGTTAATATTATACGTTTCTTTACATAGATTTACTCGCTTATTACTGTTCTATTCTTTGGGTTTAAACAACTTGTTGAATCATAAAGCAGCTTTCATTGTCTTTCTAGACCATATAATTATCACAGTATATTATAAAAGTGTTAAGTCTTGTCGATTGGACGCTATATTCGTTCCTAAGTTATTCTGATAACCCGCACGCTAGAACTATACAGTGACCTGAACACCAGAAAGAAGATGCAATGTACGAGAGAGACACTTTACTCCAAGGTTCGTTTTTGTACAGAAAACATGGGTATTTATAGATGTTAACGTTTGTTAAATCAACATCATATTTCGGCCAATCCGTTAACGACATATTATGCTACTGACCAATAGTAGCACGCCACGTTGGAATTCTAGAATGCTCCATCATGCTCTGATTGGCTAGGACTCTTCGGCTCCTTTTGGGCCTCTGGAGGCTCCTTTGAAGTTCTCCAAAAGCCGACTCAACAAAAAGAAAGTGAAATCACATTTTAAAATAATCCTTCTGTTGAAGAAGTCTAAATTAATTTACTAGTTTAGACTTCATCTAATCTTCTGAATTTTTAATGTTCCTTTTTTCTCTCCAAATTTATTTCACTGGATTATATTCCTTGAATAACATCTTCAAACCCTAATCTTTCCGATTACTGATTATACTTTTACTACCTGTACCACTACGGGATCTGAATCGACAATTACATCTCTGTGCTAATATGGTGTGGCAACTCGAACTGATGCACGTACGCACGAAGTTCTACGTTGTTGCTGACTGAGTGGAACTAATTTACTTGAAGTATTGGACATGTACAAAGTAGAGACTTGAGCACTTTTCTATAAATCTATGCTAGTTCTACACAATCAAAACACTTTAATCAATTATAATCCGATCCGCATAATAATTGCTAAACACTGTATTATTGGTTTATTTTAAATTGAGGTTTTACTGTTTACTAAAATAGTAGAAACATTGCACAACTAATCTCTATGATTTTTTTTATTGGGATAATGTTGTAACATGAAATATGCTGCAGATTGGAGGTTAGCGAGCCATCGATCGATCCAAAGTCGCGTAAGACACGTAAGAACGACTTAGGGCTCTGATTTGTCCGCTTCCCTGTCTAGCCCAGCCAGTTGAGTCCAGAACGAAATTCTCATCCTCAGCAATAAGAATCATTATATTTCAGACATACTCTGTTTATATACCAATCAAGCAGACCACATCGTACCATAAAACAGAAAACAACATTTGTACAATATTTGACAAGTGAAATAAAATATTGACCAATAGGAAATATCCATTTAAAGTCCAAGGTCACCATCAAACTTAATATGATAATTATTGGGAAATTTTCTGAATATCCCAACAGATAATGAATCGATGAATGTTATAATACCATTAAAAACGTTGATGTTATCTTGCATAGAAGTAGGTTGGAATAAACCTAGTATCAGTTAAATCAAGATATTAACTGTTGGAATTTGCTGTGTGTGTGTGCAAATTACCTCGTTAAAATCTGTGCAATTATCATAATCAATGGTTGGAGACGATTGAACAATATGACCTAATATCGTTCATAATGGCCCAGTTACATTCAATCTTTATTTCAAAGTACATATAATTTTCTATTCCATGACTTCAGTCTTTTTTCTCGAATCATTTTGTTTATGCCTAATCTTTTCTGTTACTACTGTTAATACTTCTGTTAATTGGGCATTCATTTTGATAATTTCATCTTACTTTGCTGATGTAGTTTTGCAACTTGAATCGATGTAGATACATGCTGCTATCTATTTTAATTATCAATGAATGACTCTTCGTAGTTAAAATGTGTTTCACGTGGTTGTAGTAACTGTATTTTAACATTGGGTAGTTGGATCCGATCATCAGTAAAACTCATTTGATTTAATTTTCCTGCTATTTATCACTTATCAGTCAGTAAGGTTTATTTGAATCCTTAAGATGACTAATGTTCTGTGTGCAAAACACGACAATGGGTAATAGAAATGTACACTTATTGTGATAAGTTATAAAGTGCTCACATAATACATTTTATAGCATTCATTTTCCATTTACATATTAAGTTGTGCTCTGTAATCTGAACTGTATTCTCGTATGGTCTCCTGATGTTTTACCGACTTCGTGCTTTCAATGCACTGAAGCTCTTCATTCCGTCTGACAATTGTAGTAACTTCGACGTCACGTTCGGCTACACACTACTTACAAACAATCTTGTGAGTAGCGTCCGCTACAGCTGTATATAACTTGAGCATTTTTCATCTCATCAGTCATATTCTGAATAATTTAGTAGTGAAATCTTTGACTGCGAGACATTAAGTAGTGCGAATTTTATCTCCATCAAGACTACAGGTATACTTTACTGATAATTACTAATCAGCACATAACGTAGACTACTCATGTTTTCCCCCTCTCCCTGGACTAGTTACCGCTAACTACCTAACTCTAAAAATAATATACGTAACCTCAACTAATATCCATTGTGCACCCTGATCGATACAGTTCAATCAGAACTAATTAGAATAAAGAAATTCTCATCTATCAAGTAAATAATGAAACCACTTTCACCTTACGTGATTTTTAGTACGTTTTTATCGATGTCTTTGTCTGTTTTCTTTTCTTTAAATTGACCAAAAATATTTGAGGTTATCTTAAATGTCATCGCTTTTCATTAGTTATATTTTATCTATGACCTTTAGCAATTTCTTTCGTTCATTTAGTGCATAACTACTGTATATTAAAATGTAATTTCCGCCAAAAATGAAAACTACTATAATAAGATGAATGTTTGGCAGATATACTAAGGCTAAAAATATCTATCGGAAGTATTTGAATGATAAGATTATAGTACTAAGTTAATTGAATATTATCGACAATTCAATGGTTAAAAGTTATTAAAAATAAGATGGGATACTTAATTTCACTTGGTATTGCTTGGCTTGTATCTTGCCATTGAGGCTTAAGACTGTCATTGACCAATCTGTTATTGGCATATGTGCATACTGTGCATATGCCTCGATATTGCCTTAATTCATAAGCTTTTTGCAAGCAATTATGGATAGTGGCTACTTAATATTCATAAGTAGTATAAAATTTGAATAAGAAACAAAATAAGGATATAGAATCTTTTACATAATCTGAGTTGCAGTCATTGGGAGCGTAAGCAGAGACGACGAAGAGGCAACGACGAGTGTCCATATATTTCCCAATCCTTACTCTTCCGTTTAGTCGGACTGTGCACAAACGACTATCTACTGGGATCCAGTCTAAGAGAGCTAGTTCTGCTCTAGGACTCAATACTATACCTACGCCGCCAAGGCCACGAAAAGCAGCATCAGGGCTTCCAGATACACGAAGCGTGAATCCAGATGGTTCTTTGTTTTGACATGGTGATGTCAAATGAATGACGCTACTCGGATCCTGTATGCGCGTTTCGGAGACACAGCACACATCGATGACGCGAGATTCCAAAGTCTCAGCTAAGGAAGCCTGTTGTCCTATTTGGCACATTGTTCGGGCGTTATAAGCTCCAACATGAAGTTTAGAACATGGTTTCAGGAGACCAGGAATAACGTCCTGCGTACTCGAATCGTTTGCCCTAGCGTTGCGAAGTGATAAATGGACGTGAGAGGGGTTAGTCGTGGAGATAAGAGAGGTATTAGGAGGTGTAGGAGGCATTTGAATGTGACCGACTTGGCCTCGTGTGCTGTTACGAGTATGAGGGCTGATGTCACATCCCGGCTACCTACACTGTGGAATGGCATTTCTTGAGGAACCTGAAAAAGAAGTCGGATTAATGTTGGTCTTAACGACGTGAGAGCATGACCACAGTGCCCAAGGGACAACTGCTTGAGGCCGGTCATGCACGGCCCTTTTGTGGGTTTTTCTAATGTGTTAGCTCCGTTCTTCAGAGGGCCTTACCGCCGGAGACGGAAATCCGTGAGGTAAGGTGGAGTGTGACGTTTTTAGGGTCGACCTTTTCTAACCCCCTCCTTCCTTGTGAGAAGGCAGCATCGCTGCAGATGCTGGTTGTCCGAGGGAAACACCTTACTGCTGTCACACCCCTCTACAGTCAGCATGGCATGTTGACAGTCTATAAAACTGCATTACGTCCTGATTGGATGGAACTCTTCGGTTCCTCTAGGACCTCTGGAGGCTTCGTCGTAGTTCTCGGAAGCCGTCTCAACAATTCACCCATTGAATATAACTTTAACTGATTTATATCTTAAACTGTTGTATGTGTATGTACTCTTTATTCCAACACTTGAATTCACTCAAAGATTATTCCTAATTTTCGTTTAAAACACATGAACATGAAGTATACACTATTATGTTGGTGTAATGTATGATAAAATTAATTGAACTATAATTATAAAAGAAGCTTTCTTATTTTGTTGTATGTAGTCAATAAGATATATTATTATTAATGGCGTTTGCAAAGTTCGTTGTGTTTCCAACAGCATTGAAAGATAGTGACAAAAGATCACGAATTTTCTAGAGTTGGAAATGTAAATCGTTGGATGGTACACTAAGTGGTCTAAATTTCAAACGCTTGCGATAAAACCTGGAAGCTACCCGGTAGGGTCTTTGATGTACGTACCTGGATAGTTCCACACTAGGACGGGACAGGTATCCAATGCTCATTGGCTTTCGGTGATTGTCTAATTAAGATCAATCTGTAACTTAAGAAGTAATAATTTTAATATTATTATCGCTCAAATCTTTCCTTACACAAACTTCTTGATATTTGAACAACTGTTATATTATGGTCTGTACATTGATGTTGATCACATACAGTGAATATTGTGTCTGAGTTACTGTGATTGTCCTTGAAAACTATTTACAATGCAATTCTATACTAGAACATATGCTCACTTAATTAACAAGTTATAAAGCTGAGATATATGTACTATTTTGAGATACTAGGTGGTTAGAGATATTCGTCAGGAAACTCTGCTTGACATAGGTTGGCACTCGTGATTAAGCTGTAGGTTCATTTTTGGGGAGAACTGATACATCTATATGGTTCGAAACAGCGTCACCTAGTTTCATGGTTTGCAACACTACCGCCTAGCCATTTGCTTCTTCTTGGACTTCCTGTATGACTGAGTTATTTACAGTTGACTGATCACTGTATAATCACCAGTATTATGTTTATTCAATCCTTTTGTAATAATCAAATTTTATCGATCAAAGGGAAGTGTTGACTACTAGTTTAAGTGACTAGAATGACTCAAACTGTCATGCATTTTCAAATCCTACAGAAAACATTAGTTTCATCAAGACTTTTAGTACATTTTACCATTAACTACTGAATAGCATATAACCTTGGTCAACTGAAACTGCTTACTAACTACCTCCAAGTACCTTACATCAACACATGGTAGACGTGATATCGACTTACTTAGATTATTGGCTATATTTTTATTTGATTTATAAAATTTATTGATTGAGATCAAGAACCGGATGATGTTAGACCACCATTGAAAACCTGGAAGCACTGGACGTCTGTTTCGTCCTATTGTAGGACTCCTCAGCAGTGCGCATTCACTATTCCACTCGCGGGATTCTTGATCTCAATCAATAACATAGTCATCTCCACAATCCTATAGTGATTATAGAATTTAATCAGTATAAAGAATTAAACAAACATGATACTACTTATTAAACTAATAGTATTCAACACTTCATATTCATTTTTGTTTAATCAAACTTTAAAAGATGTTCAATAATGATATTTCTTTAAATTCTTTTCTAGCTAAACTTATATTAAGTCAATCATTTTATCATAATCATATAGTAACTATAATTAGTAATAATGAAAGAATATATCAAACTGAATTGTTATCTAAATTAATAACTCATCTTTTACAACATATTAATATTCAATATCAATTTCATAAAATACACACAAATCATAAATATGTTGTATGTAATGATATGGAATTACATGAGAAGATGAACTGTTATTCTAATGGAAAGTCGACAACATCAACAGCAATGATGATGACGACGCCGACGGCAACGACGACAATAACGTCAGCAACAACAACAACAACGGATGTCAACAATCATAATAATCAAACATCATATATCACTATATTTTTAACTGGTCAAACAATATCTGATAATCAATTATGTTTATTAGAAGTTTCATATTGGTTAAATACTCTATTTAAAAATGATTCATTTTCAATAAATTTAAGTTTATTTTGTAATTCATCTAATATATTTCGTAAACATTTATCACTGTGTATTGAAAAAGTACTATCAACATTATAATGCTGATGAAGGTTTAATGTTGTTGTTGTTGGGGGGGATGAGTGTATTACTAGGGACTTTCTGTTCAATGTTGTTTAAGCATTCCATTTGATTTGATTTTTTATTCTCTTTTGTGTTTTTTTTTGCGTTACGTTTCGCGCTCATTTTCAATATTCATTACTTCATGTATATGTTTGTGTGTATTTGTTTTTGTGAATTTGTTTATTTCATTTAATCATGTGCAATTGGACGAGTTATTTTGTTGTTGTTGTTCTTCTTCTTCTTCGAAATTTAGAACAAAGTGTAATTTTGCAATAAATTATGTGATAAAAATGTATTCTTTAAGTATGTTTGATATACCCTGACCATTGTTGCTACCTTGACGTGGTGGTCGGGTTTGCGTATTGTGATGAACTAATCGAGCTATACTTGCTGAAACAATCGTTCCTTAAGGTCCTATCATGTTAGACAGGTCGGTTGAAGAGCGGTAAGACTAAAAGTAGCAAACCCAAGGTCTGAGGGCAAAGTCGTACTGCTGAATGTACAGAGGTGTGATGGTGGTAAAGTGTTTCCTTCAGACAACCAGCATGACATCGATGTCGCCTTCCCATAAGGAGGGGTGGAACTAGAAAAGGTCGAACTTAGAAATGCACACCTCGCCTTATCCCACGAGTATCCGTCTCTGGCGGTAAGGTTTCAACAAGTACGGAGCTAACACGAAAATTACTCACAAACAGGTCGGGTGTGACCGGCCTCAAGCAGTTGTCCCTTGGGCACTGTGGTCATGCACTCACGTCGTTAAGACCAACATTAATCCGACTTCCTTTTCAAGTTTCTCAAGAAATACCCTTCCACGGTGTGGGCAGCCGGAAAGTGACATCAGCCCTCATACTCGTAACAGCACACGAGGCCAAGTCAGTCACATTCAAATCCCTCCTACACCTCCTAATACCTCTCTCATCTCCACGACTAAACCTCACGTCCCTTTATCACCTCGTAGCACTAGGGCAAACGGTTCGAGTACGCAGGACGTTATTCCTGGTCTCCTGAAACCATGTTCTAAACTTCATGTTGGAGCTTATAACGTCCAAACAATGTGCCAAATAGGACAGCAGGCTTCCTTAGCTGAGACTTTAGAATCTCGCGCCATCGATGTGTGCTGTGTCTCCGAAACGCGCATACAGGATCCGAGTAGCGTCATTCATTTGACATCACCATGTCAAAACAAAGAACCATCTGGATTCACGCTTCATGTATCTGGAAGCCCTGATGCTGCTTCTCGTGGCCTCGCCGGCGTAGGTATAGTATTGAGTCCTAGGGCAGAACTAGCTCTCTTAGACTGGATCCCAGTAGATAGTCGTTTGTGCACTGTCCGACTAAACCGAAGAGTGGGGATTAAGAAAGATATGGGCACTCGTCGTTGCCTATTCGTCGTCTCTGCCTACTCTCCCAGTGACTGCAGCGCAGACGATGTAAAAGATGAGTTTTACAGAAAGCTTTCCGACCTCCTCCGAAAATAGAGCAAGAACAAACATTGATGCAGAATAGTATGAATTCATATTATTTCGAGGTTTCTCGTCAGCTGCTTACAAACCAAAATTGTGATAAAATTTTTACATGGAGATAGTGTGAAACAATTGACATAAATGAGTGTAAGTAACGTGATTATAATAATAACTATATATATATATGCTAGAAACAGGTCAGAGGTCAAAAGAGGGGGTTAATCCAGGGTGGGTGGTGTAATAATTTAGTGAAGTTCATAAATTGTGTGATAATTGTAGAGATTAATGGAATTAAATAATGATAAGGTAGATTACGTAATAATAAATAAATAGGGTTTGGAAAGTTAAGATGATTTAAGAGGATCAGGTGACGGAAATGTGTGAATAAAATTTATACCCCCCCCCCTATTACCTGATATATCCTGGAGTTCTAGTGAGAAGTAGTGACCAGTGGAGTTCAACCAGGTCTGTTGTGAGGTAGTAACTCACTGAAGACAATGGTGAATGTGTCGCTCAATTTCGTGGATTAGTTGAAGTTAGACATTAACACCGTTGGATGCCGGCTCAGTGGTCTAGTGGTTATGTGCTCGGGCGCGAAACCAGTAGGTCCTGGGTTCGGATCTCGCAGGGGGCGAAGTCGTGGATGCGCACTGCTGAGGAGTCCCACAATAGGACGAAACGGCCGTCCAGTGCTTCCAGGTTCTCCATGGTGGTCTAGCTTCAACTGAATCATGATCTTAACCATTGGAACTTTTATTTGTTTGACCTTTATTATTTTTCATATATATTCTATTTGTGTTATCGTTAACCTTATTTCCACATCCACTATTTGTTTGTAATTTTCCGCCTCTTTGTATTTTTCACTATCTAATTATTTACACACATCTTATTACGTAATGATTTTAATGTTTTGTGATTACTATTCCTAGTCTATTTACCCATGTTTGTTTGATCTTTTATTTCCAACGCTTAACTATTGATAAGAGTTTTGTTATTGTATTTTATTATTTTCACTATTATCAGTTCACCTGTCTTCCTACTACTATCAACTTGTACTTTTTCCTATTATGTGTAGTGACTTATTCTATGTCATAGTGATTATTGACCCATAGTTACCTTGATTGGTTTAACATTTTCATAATAAATATTCATGTATATTAGAGTAAAGCCTGATGGCGATCTAATTGAAAACAATATTGTTCGCTTATATGTGTTGTTCTAATTTTCACAATGGGAATCTTTAATATATAAACATGTCTCTTACACATTAATACAAATACCTATTTATAAAAATCCTTCACGTTGATTGGATGACTTATTCAGTATACTGTAAACCGAAGAACCATGTATCTATTTATATTCGATAATTTTGTTGTGTGATTATATTTTCCTTGAAAAAGCTTGGGCCAGATTACCAGACGAAACGTTGGATTTACTTCAAATTCATTCGCTGAGATTTTACAAATAGATTCTTCTTTTTAATGTCACAAAGGAATCAGTTTGACAAATATAGTGTCTAAAATATTAGCTTCAATAAAACTTCGACACCTAACTAAAGCTTGTGAAGAACAGACTAGAGAAAATCAGGCTGGTTTTCGACCTGGACGTGGTTGTATAGACAAAATATTCACACTACGTCAGGTTCTAGAACACAGACACACATTCAGACGCCCCACAATAGTTGTATTTCTCGAACTTAGGGCAGCATTCGACTCTGTTGATCGTCAGGTTCTATGGCAGCGTTTATCACTGAAAGAAGTACATAGTGGTCTAGCTTCAATTGACTCATGAACCATCGAGTAAGTAGTGCAGTTGTTAGGAAACGGGTACTAGGTAAGGATGGCAAATCAATTGATGAAATAATGAAACTTCATCAGTTGAGATGACTGGGACACGTGTTACGTATGCCCAACCACCGACTGCCCCGACGTGCGATGTTCGATGGTGCAGGAGTAGGTTGGAAGAAAGCTAGGGGCGACCAGTCCAAAACATGACACAAATCCATGAAGTCACTGACAAGTCGACTGAGCCATGTTGGTAGGTGTAGACTACCTGGTTAGGGACGGCGAGATGATAGTAACCGATGGTTAGAGACCTTGAATGACATGGCTGAAAATCGTTTGCAATGGTGCAGGTGCATCCACTCTTTGTGTTCTCCCAAATTCTAATCTTCTAAATTCTTCATGTCCCGTTTTTCCTCTTTCCAAATTTGTTTCATTGTATTATACTCCTTGAATAACATCTTCAAACCTTATTCTTTCCGATTACTACTTATACTCTTACTACCTGTACCACTACGGGATTTGAATTGACAATTTTATCTGTGTGTTAATATTGTATGGCAACTCGAACTGATGTACGTACGTACGAAGTCCTACGTTGTTACTGACTGACTGAACAACTTGAATAATATTTGCTTCTTCTGAATTCGATCACATGTGATGTTTGTAGAATACGTTTGTAAAGGTTCTCAAACCAAAATAATATAAATGTTAAATTCTTTTTAACATTGAACAATTCTTCACCTGTCACATCTTTTCATGATAGAAAGAACTATTGTATAATTGTACAGAATCTTTAATAAACTACTTCTGTATGTGTTGATATGACCTTTCTATGTGTACTAGTGTGTGTGTGTTTATGAACATGTTGGAAGTTCGTTACAAAACAAATAAAAGTACACAAATACATATGACATTGGCAGCGAAATTAAGATGGCAGTTGTTACTATAACAATAACAGCTGACTGTACTGTTTATAATAATAGAATTAAAGTACAATAACAGTTTTTTTTGGAAGATTAATCTATATTCCTTTTCAGATTGTTAAATCAATTAAAGATAACTGTTGTTTCTATCTCATTTTTTTCAAAATTTCTCTACATTTTCCTTTTTTTTTATATACAAGATCAAATTATTAATATACTACTGATATTTTGTAACTAGCCTATCATCAATAATTAAGGCATAATATATAATTTATTTTAGGTTCAAATCGACTTGATTAAAAAATATAATTAGTTGTTCTATTAGAATAGAATCCTCACTATTGAATGATATGATCAGGTTGAAGTTGGAATGCGCTGTTTGATCCATTTTCAACCAGTCAGCTCTAACGTTTGAATCGATATTTTATAAACTGTGTTGTTCGTGTAAGTGGAATATATATATATATATATATATATATATATATATGCTACTCCTAACTCAAGGTCTGAAAAGTCGGAAAAATGAAAATTTCTCAAATGCGATAAAAATGATCTTGGTGGTCTAGTTATAGTATTCCGGCATCAGACAATTGGTTTTAAGCGTTACTTAAGCCCTAACGCCTCAGGCTAGGCTATTTCGCTCACTACCCTACATATGTGTTGTATGCAGTTATGTAGAGCTGAAGGTCTCATATGAGACTGGAGGTTCGCCATTGGTATTGTGGATGGTTCGGCATTGCTTTGGCAAGATTTACTGATTGTTCATGCACAAAATTGGTTTGCTGGTTAACCGATTTCATTCATACTGGTGGTTGCTTTTCAGTGTTCCAGAGCGCCATTGTCATTGGGATATTGTAAGGCATGTCGCCATTGCTAAAATAAATGAGTTTGACCGTCGTGTAAGCGGAATAGGTCAACTTTGGCCTGTTCGTGCTGTGCATAATTGATTCACGCGATCATTGATCGGAATAACTATACATGTAATGTGAATGTGTATATGAATGGTGCGAATGGTCCATCAGGGTGCTTGGTACCTGTGTGGTTGCGCCACAGGATTGAGCTGTACTATTCAGATTGTAGAGTTAAAGCCTATACTGTGTCTGGTTCTCCTATGAA